GCACATCTACAGTTATTGTTTTCTAATTACTGTCATGTAATATAAATGCAAAAGCATTTAATATTTATTTAGTCTTTCGCATAATATGTCAAAACAAATTTCTCTTAAGTCATCTGTTTATGGCTGAAGTTGCTATGTGTATTTCTTTAATTTATGCTATGGAAGTTAAAAATACAGCGATCAATAAAAAATATAAAAATTCTGCACATGTGAAAATAAAATTATGGTAAAATGCTTGAACACCATCTCCAAAACAAGAGACTAAATTTAAAAAAAAAATCATGTTTGAGCTAAAATATTAATGTCTTGCAAAATCTTTTCTAACATACGTGACAATTTTCGATAGAGGGACAAGCTTTTTTTTACTGCTTAGACCTAGAGTACTTTTTTTTTACTTCTTACTAAACAATCATAGATCCTTTCCCAGATTTTACTAATCAGGTCTTGCTGGCCTAAGATGTAATACTTTGATAAAGAAATTCTAAAAAGTTTAGCTTTTTTTTATTTCAGTAATTCTGAATACTTATAAAAATTCGGACTACTACAAATTTTATTAAAACTCATCCTATGATTCAAAAAGGTGCTTCAGACCGCTGACGAAGTTTTTAAATTAAAAAGAAACTGTATTTGATATGGTAATGAAGTTAAAATATCATTGCAACCTGCTTAGACAATATTCAATCTAAGAATGCTACTATTTTAGAGAATTCTATGCATTTCAAATAAAAAATAGCACAAATAATTATTACATATTCAGATTATACACGACTACTGTGTCATTCACCAACAACATACATTCAAAAAACAATAAAAATTATTTAAAAAAATCTGATAGGTTTCGGATTTTAAATTACGTCCAAAAGGACATTTCTTTAACGTTTTGTGTAGTACCTTTATTTATTAAATATCATGTTCTTTGCACGTCAGTAATGCCTAGATCCACCATAAAATTCAGTTCAATAGCAATGTCGATAATTAATTTTAAAATGAGCATATATTTAGAATTTCTGGTACACAATTCCGCACGGTGGAGATAAAAAGGTTTCCACCCCTGTAGAGTGTTGCTATTGCTTGCTTTGAAATCGTTGAGTTTGTTACTCAAAAATTCGTTAAAGTTTCACAAAATATGAAATAGATAATAAAACAAATTCCAAATTTCAAACTTGATTTTCCATATGCCCATATTCGTAGGAGGATTACGTCATTCAAACTTGGATGGCCTTTTTTCAGACCTTTTTTTTATCACAATGCGAGAAATATACACACATTTACAAAGATTTTCATTATTTAATTACTTCAAATGTAATGCCGGACTCTAACACTTGGTGGCAACAGTCTGAAAAGTGATTCGCCGTTTGTAGTGATTCAATGCAAAATCGCAAAAACGAAACAGTATTAGTATTTAAAACAATAGTCTCTCAAGCACTATTGTTTTAAATACTAATACGCTCCTTTGGACTAATAAATAAAAATATGAAATTTTCAGATTTTAAACTACATCCAAAGGAGCGTTTTTAACATTTTGTGTATTACCTAATTAAATATCATGTTCTGCGTACTCAAACCATAAAGTTCAGTTCAACAGCAATATCTCAAAATTATTTTAAAATGAGGGTATCTTAGAGTCTCTCGCGCTGGAGATAAAAATGAGATTTTTTTCGTACGGTATTGACATTACTCACTTTGAAATCGTTTAGTTTTTTAATTAAAAATTCGGTGAAGTGTTATAAAATATGAAATCGATAATAAAACAAATTTCAAATTCAAATTAGGGCTTCCACATGCCCATATTGTATGGAAGATCACGTTATTTAAATTTTGATAGCTCTAGGTACCGTTGTTTTATTACAATGCGAGAAACATAAATATATTCATGCAGAGTCTTCATTATTTAATTTCTTTAAGTATAATACAGAGCGATAATATTTAGTGGCAACTATTTGAAAAGTGATTCGCCGTTTATAGTTTTCAATGAAAAATGCCAAAGCGAAATTAAAAGTCCTTCAGGGCAAATTGCCCCTTTAGACTAAAAATAAAGTAAGCAAACATAAAAAAGTAAATTTTCGTGCTTCTTTTCTTAATAGTATTTCGTTTTATTTATTTACTGCGGTTTTTTTTAACTGAAATTTGTTACTTTTAGAAAAGTTGCGGGTTATATTTCGGACATTCAGTTGTTAGGCTGTAGGTTGGTTATTTTAATAATTTATATAGCAAAATACAGAAATTTTAACACACCTTTGCCTTTCTGCTTGTAGTTATTTTGCGTTGAACAATGTAATTACAATTATGTAAGAAAATCAAACTCATTGAATTTTTTTCTAATAAAAATCGCATTGAAATCAATGTACATAAAAAGATTTGGAATATTTGAAATGAATTTGAACAGAACTTCATCAAACCAGTATAAGCGACGAATATTGTTCCAAAATGAATAAATAATTCGCCATTATTATTTTTACTATCAAATTAGATTATGCTTCATAAACCCGTTCAAAACACGCTTATTATAAATTACTGTTGATGGCTAATTTTTATTTGAATTATTGCTTAATTATGTTATTCTTTACATGTAATTATATATAACTCATATTAAATGCAGTATTAAATTAAATGCATCGCTCGAATAATTAAAACTTATAACTTGTCGGTTTTAATTATGTATCTATATATCCATAAGTAAATTTGTTTAAATATTTCCTAATGCCATTTTTTAATTGAATTCACGAGCATTTCGCATATTTCTGAACATTCAATTTAAAAACTAAAGGATATTTTATGAAAATGTTATCTGTTTAAAGAGAGTATTGAAAAAACATGCTTACATGCTACTTTTTTATTTCGCGAAGAATGTCCACGTTTGTTTGTTGTTTATAAACCACTACATGTTCAAGCGTTTTCTTGGCGATTAAACATAGCGGTCTAAAACGAAAAAGAGCAACCCTCTTTGCCTCCTACTGAGAACTGTCATTTAGAGATCTCCAGGGTTCCAGAAATAAGGGGGGGCAGGAGACATCTGCACGGCCGCTTTAAGGCGGTCATAACGCTTTCGAGGTCTTCACCACTGACCGCCTAGAACCGTCAGTAACGCTTTCGAACACTTTTCCAGTGAGCGCCTAGAAGCGTCCGTAATGCTTTCGAGGTAGGCAGTCTTGACCGCCTAAACCCAGTTATAACGCTCTGAGGGTTAACTGGAAAATTTAGCATCTGTTTGCAACTCTAAAAACATTCATATTCACAGTTATCATCATAAAGCTTAGCTAGCATCTGCTATACACTACTGGCAATGTATCATGAGACTGGTGACTAAAGACGTTGTTGTTCCACTAAATTTTGCCTTGCTTCTATCACACTTTGATAAACTTATGTCAGAATTATATTAGTTTAGTTATATATTATACAAATACTTATTTCCCTCACACACAAAGCTTATCAGAGTCTGGAATAAATAAATTCCCTCATATACATAAGGTTTATCTAGGAATGGTGCTAGATATTTTGCAGCCTGGTGCACTCTCTGCTTGTTCTAACTTCTGCTGCTAAATTAAAAAAATTTTGTCAACCCTCTACATTTTGTGTCCCAGTGTCTTTCCTAAATTTTAAAGATTTTGCCATCCCATAATTTTGTTGTTCCATGCTTCTCTAAATTCTGGGGCCCCACCAGCTAAGGTACCAGTCTTGGGCTTATCAGAATAAATAAGTTATTCTTAATTCAAAAAGCACCAAGTGTAATATTTTGGTCTATGCATATAATTTACAAAATCCATTTTTAGCATATGAAAAGAAATTTCTGTTAGATTTCTCCATGCCAACATATTCAACATGCAGCACAGTTAACTCAAGTCTGTAATCATCACTAAGCATAATGTCAACATAAAAGGTTACCATGCTCTTTGATATTCAGTTACTAATATATATACTATATATAATAAAAAAAAACTGTTTAGACATCACTGTGACAGTCATTAAGCTGCCCAGTGTTGATAGCCATGACATGATGAAAGCAAAAAATAATAAATAATGTTTTACCAGGCTGGCCTTAGGGATATAAATTTTTGGCTAAATGCAAAATTAACAATGTTCTAATGAGGAACTCTTTGGTTTTTGAGCTATATTCCAAGTAAAAACGCAGCTATAGCCAAATCATTGATCATAGAGATTTATGCTAATAAATCAGTCTTCAATATGGAGACACTTTATTTAATGCTGAAGTGAAATTAACAATCAAAACTTTCCAATGTTTTATTATGAAAAATGAAAAAATATCAAATGCACATTCATAAAGAATATCTTTTTTTTTTTTCCCCCCGGATATTGGACATTCAGATTTTGGACTTTGAACTGTATCCTTTTTTTAGGTTTATAATGTCAATAAAATGTTATGAATTTTTTTTTTTTTTTTTAATGACGTGCTGAATCAGTAGGTTAAACAAAGTTCTAAAGATCAGTCTTTAGGTACTCAAAGGATTTAATGTTCCATCATTGACCTTCCTGATCTCCAAATCTTAGGCCTTATATCATGTAATTCTTCCCGTAATTGTCCCTTAATGATATCTTCATATAAAATATACTTTCAATCTGGCAAAATCGATGCCTTACTGTACTTATTCTTGTAAAAACTATAACAAAGGATATGTTGAGGCATGTAGAACACAGATATAATTATTTTCACATTGTTTATGCAACTAAAATAAGAAAGTGGCATGGAACATTTTGAAGTTAAACTTTAAGTTGTCCTTTCATTTCAACAATTACTTGTCATTCTGTGTTTGTAAATGTATTACACAATGTTTTTTCAAATTAGAAAAACAAAAAAGTGGAAATTTTACAATATTCTTAATTTTCTCGATGAACAGCATTTTAAAAAGAAAACGGAATCATTATGCATTAATTTAAAGAATGCAAATTTACATGAAGACAGCCTTGACTAAATCTGCAGTTATATTGAGTAAACACAGACATAACAATTGATGCTATCAATGAAGTTTAAAAAATGGTTATACCGCAACAGGGGATGATCTGTCAAGATCTTTCACACTGTATATTAAAGTCTCAAGCAGAACTAAAACTAGTATCTCCACTTCTCGGTTCACAATATGTCCAGTGTAATGCTTTTGAGAATTTTTTGCATGTTCATGATGTAAATACGTCAACATATCTCCTAAAATTGTGGCACACATATTCAGCTCTTGCTGCATCTGCATATGTTTCTTTATATGTCTAGTAAAAACTTCAAATAATTCAACTCTAGAATCTGAAAAAAAAAAAAAAAAAAAAAATACACACACACACATATATATATATATACAAATATCATATATTTTATAATTATTTCTATATTTTTTTTATTTCCAACACAAATAAAATCATAGAAAATTAAATAATAAAATACCTTTTTACTATGGCAATAGCACATATTCCTATTAATTTTTTTACTACATTCATTCAAAGGTGGAAAACTTCCAACTTAAAAATTGCAATACAATAGTTTTGTCTGTTTGTTAGAAATTTATTATTTTGCTATATGACATATTTCACTATTACAGTTTAAAATACCAAAAATATTTTTTTCCCAATGATGAAACTCTAGTTATCAATAGCTCGTTTCTCTATTCTAATCTAATTAGCAGGTCTTTACTTTAAATAATAAAAAAAATAGTTTTACATGATTAATAGATTATACCTTTAATTTACACCCATTTCATTAGATTTTGGGGATAGTATTTTATTTTACATATAAAAAAATAATTCAAATTGTCTATCAAGCTAGTTAAATAGTACAATTCTGTCAACTGCTTCTGCTTTCCTCATATCTTTGTTAAAATTCCACAATGTTTAACATTTTCCCATCATTTCTTATAGTGGAATTATGACCTAATAGTTGCATAATGTTCCATAAGAATTCAATGAAAATTACTGTATTTATTTTTATATATTTAAAAGACCACTTTTTAAACTCCATTCAAATGAATATTATTTAATTTTATCTATTATTAAAACTATCCATTTTTTGAGGTAGGATTCTTTCAAAATAATACATTTCTATTCTATATTTAGGGTATTTATTTAGATTGCTAATTCTCACAATGTTTCAAAATTTTCAATAATATTAATGAAAATTTTGCAATTAGAAGAATAAATACCTAAACATTTATCTGCAAATTTCCAAGTGAAAAGAGAGTTACAGGTCATTCATTTAATTCAGATGATACAAATCAGTCACCACATTCTGCAAGTTCTGGTATTTGAAGAAGAAATGGCATCTGCAATGTTCTTCTACAACAACACTAACAAATAATTGCAATTCCCATGAAAAGAGGATACCACTATTACAGAACTAATAAAACACATGGATAGATCTGTCTCTGTCATAACGAACAAGATTGACTTGATTGAGACATTGCTCTCTTCATTTCTCTAAGAATGATTTACATTCCATACTAAAGTGTTCTCTTCCCCATTCCCCATTGCAATAGTTCATCACACCTATGGAAATGAGTTCCATAACTTCCAACTCAGCAGACAATCACATTAATGTAAGTGGGCTTATAACCAAGCCCACAATATGGCTCTCATCATGATCACACACAAAAAAAAGTTATGTCGAGTTCACTCAGAGAATACAGTATATGATTTGCCTGTTTATGACAAAATATATATCCTCTCTTATGCTCAAAGAATACTTTTAGTATCATCATAAAATACAGGCTATGGTCCAGGTTTAGAATGCATTTCTTACAAGTCCATTTTGTATGAGCCACTTTATATTTCAAAGGCCATTTCTTACGAGCTCTCGCAGCTGACAATAAATGGCACTTGCAATTGCAATTCTTTCCAACCAACAAATAACAGCAATTCATATATATATATGGTTCCATGAGTACACATAAACTAGATCTGCCTAAAATCTTATATCCAGCAATAAAATTGTTCTATGATATTCAAGTAATATTTTCAGAGTTATAGAGATGAATCAAATTTATTTATAGCATGATGTGATAATTCAATTTCTACACATGCACATCCAATGCTTATAAAAGAAAAAAATAATAAGAACAATAAAAGTGAATGGAACTGAGCTACAGACTAAAGCTGAATAATCATTACAAGCATTAAATTACCTATATGTTGGAAAATTTCACTTTTAACAGTATCATGAATGCACTGTAGTTTTGCTTGGACTAGGGCAGCAGGTGGATCTGGAGGTAAGCAATCAATAGTAAGTTTAACAATTTTGGCCACTTCATGGACAGGTAATACATTAAGTAGCTGCACATAGATTTGGCCAAAACTGGATACAAGGGCAATCTGAAAAAATATAATAAATAAATAAATAAAAATCTTGCATTAAAAAACAGAAAATAAAAATATAAATGAAAAAGACCATTATTTAAATTGATAAAAAAAAATGGAAATTTGAGTGTCACATTTCTTACGAGAGACTAATGAATTAAATAGTCACATCAGTTGGCAAAGACTTAGATGCATTAGTCAATTACACTACAGCAAATGATAATTACATCAACTTCAAAAATGTCTTTTATACAATATTTTCTTATGGAATTTGATGTATATATGTATTACACATGAAGAAAATTCACAATGTTATTTTTGAAATACAAATAAAAATTTTAAAAAATGTCTACTCATATTTTATTATAAGAACAAACCTATCAAACCTATCTGCTTTTCTAAATTTCACCAGGTACATTTATTTAAATGTTTTCTGCATATTAAAAGACTATTGCATTTTTAAAACTATGAATTTCAGAATCTTTAGTAATGAAACAAGGATCACATTGGAAATTAGTACGGAATTCCTTTCAAGAAGAAGGCATTTTTAAACATGTAATATGTTAAATTTTTAATTTTGCTCCTCAGTGATGAAACATAGGATTTAAATTCATTCAAGGTATGATGCAAAGATTCATTAAACACATGAACACTTAAACAATAAAAATATGAATATATTTCCTTTTGCTTTGCTCCATTTTAACTGATTTCACATATTCTACTTTTTTTTGCAGCATTAATTAATCGTGAGTTCATAAAAATAGCTTAAAGTAATAGGAAAAATTCTGCTTAGCATTTAAAGAAAATAATACATATTGCTACAACTATATAACAGAAAAATGTATTTTACATGATTAAAATATTTAAACAAATTTAATACCTGTGTGGGTAAAATTATGAGGTCATGATTGATAGCTAACATCCTGTTGAAAGAATTAAATAATGAATAAAGATCAGCTTTGAAAGCTTCTTCACTCTGATCACCGGTAGCCCTGTAATAGAAGCATTTTGATGGAATAAAATGATTATAAAAAAGTAATAATATTAATAAAAAAGGTAATAATATAAAATAAAAAGTAATAATATAATATAAATTGATATTCACCTTTGTTGAATAAGGTAGTAGTCATAGTAATAATAGTAGAAGTAAAAAATTTATCCTTTAAAAAGGTTTCAATTTAAAAAAAAATAATAAAATTAAACAGTCATTGATTTTTTTTTAATCTGTAGAGCAACAAAGGAAAAAATTGCAAATTAGTTTAATCCTTGGAAGCATCAAACTATAGTTAATTACGCAGACAAAAAATACATGCATATTTTATAAGTACATCACAATAATACAATATAAATTACATAAAATTTTTTAAAAATATATAAAGGACAACTAGAAGGTAAAAACTATTTAACAACTTCATTACATCTTTCAATCACTTCTGCATTCGTGTAGAATGAGTTATCCTAAGACCAGGTCTGCATTGCTTGCTTTACATCATCATCACAAGTAAACATGCATCCTTGTAGAATGTCTTTCAAAGAATGAAAATGTGATAACTACACAGTGCCAGATCTGTGCAAGAGGAGGATATAGAAATTAACACCCACGTTGCTGCACTGCCTCTTGTGTTATCACAACTCTAGGAGGTTGTGTTGTCTTCGTTCTGAAGTGTTGAGTCATTTAATTTGCAGTAGCTGTCTTTTGATTATTTAAACAGTAAAAAACATGATTTAAACAAATATGAAATATCATACACGTCACAGTGTCGGATCTATACATCTTACCACATCATTGTTTAGTTCTGTTCTAACTATATCCCCCCCCCCGTCGCGGGAAAAGCCAAAATCAGTTTATCCCTTTAGGGAATTTTAGTTGGAACAGAGGTTGTATATCTTTTATCATGTTTTATTAAAGATTAATTTGGAAAATATTCCTTTCCTTTTGTTCTGAAAAGGCTTTTAGCAGATTTATACCTTAATTGTATCTTTTCACTCTGCACTGCGAGTTTCAGCTCCTATAGTAAAAAAACTTAATATGTTACACTATTTAGTGTATGCTAATGTTCTTAAAAGTTGCACTAAAATGGGCCCCTTCCTATTAAGAATGGAAATCAGTACGATTTCTTTGCCAAAGGACTCCTATCTGAATTTCTTTGCTGGATTAGATACATACTTCTGCTCCAAACTTTGTCTCTTATTCATATCAGGGATTAATTAATGTCTTACTGATGTAATCAAATCTCTCCAAACTGTGCATAATTTTAATAGCAATTCAAGAACTGTATCACATTCTCCATTGCAATAGCTTGTGTAAATTAATAAGGCACAGAAGTACTTCAAATCAGTCAGCATTTAGGAATCCTTTCATTTCATACTGTAGCTTTGCAGAATTGTAGCAAACATCCAGAGATGCAGTAACTCATGACATTACTATCTATTGGTCTTCTTTGATCGAGATATCTACCCTGTTATTTAAAGATCTGGCATGCACAATGCTGATGTTCAGTTAGACCCACGGACAGCATTATGCACTTTGCCATATTACAAATCAGTGATCTTTTCTCACTGATCTGCATATCGGTGTTTTCATAAATTTTTTATATATTTTTCCATTAGCTCTGAAATTACAAATAATTCAAATAAAACTTAAAACCCGTAAAATTTTTCATTGGAAATTGAATGTTTTGAAGATTTTTAAAGCATATTTAATCCTCTGCACTCGAGAGGCAACTCTCCCTCATCACTTGTTTTGATGCAGTAACTTAAGAGGCGACTCTCGATCACCATTCGGTTTGAAGCAATATTTCGAGCAGTAACAATGGTTTTAAATTAGGTTTGGTTAAGAGTATATTTAACGATGCATGCATTTAAAACAATTGCCAATCTTTAATCTTTAATACGTTTCTTAGCTTTATTATTATATATGCATCTGCGACGCTAGTTCAAACTCTACAATCATTGTAATATGAATATTATTTTTTTAAGTTATGGAACCCAATAAGCATGGAATACAATGAAGGAATCAGTTTGAGCAAAAATGAGGAACGTCTGTGCATATAAAAATCGAACATCTGTGCGAAAAATTACGTCTGTGCATAGATTACTTGGTGACAGAGAGGAGCAAACCTGAGATGAAGATAGCGATGAAGTTAAGAGGCGTACGAAGGAGAAAAATCAGAGTAATAGACAGTGAATGTGAAAGTGACAGTGACTTCGCAGAAGAGATAGAAAATTCAGAATGGATAATGAGCACAGACTCTGAAGAAATACCGCAAAAAATACAGTTTGTATCAGGTGAAAGAGCCACAAGACTACAAGTATCTTCAGACGTAAAAGAACCATTAGATTTCTGTGAAATCATTTTAAGTTAGGTGTAAGAAATTCACTAAATATGCGGAAAATCGTCTTCAGTGGCTTGTTCGCCTGAGAAAAAAAAAAAAAAAAAAAAAAATCCTTGAGTGCAAAGGGTTAACAATTTTAGCAATATTACAGAATCATTACTATGAAGTATATACCCCTAAAACTGATTTTTCATACTTATCAGAAAATGATTTATTTAGGTTACTATCCTCATAGGATCAAGCTCTGATGAGAAGCTGCTTTCTGCCCATGAGAAAACAACCTGCTAAATATTCTTAAGATGATGCTAATCTTACAGTAAATAAAATGTAATCACTTCTTTTTCAGGAAGAATTAGACTTTCATATCTTGGTAAAGGTCACGATCTATTTTGGTATGATAACACAATTGGTCCATAATGTTATATAATTAGTTCAACTTAAAAGTATGATCTCACGTTAGTGATAGTAGCAATACCTGTTATACACAACCGGTTCATTACATTACAAAAATTATTCAGAAGTATAAACTCACATCTCTCAGAATACTATTTTAATGGTAACTATGATTTAAAATGCTTTGTTACAGTCAATGCCTCTTTGCACAATGCAATTACTCCCTAACATTAAATGACTTAAAATTGCTTCCAAGAATACGACAAACAGTTCCAAAGTTGCATTATTCTGCATCAATGCACTCCTTGAGTATGTCGGTATTTTTTAACTTTCTATGCTAAAGGTAGAAAATGAGATCAGAGAAAAAGAATTTAAAAGACAACTAAACTACTGAAACTTACCTGGCAAATAATATTCTAGATTGTATTATAAATTTAAATATATATTCCAAGGAACGAAAGCACTTTTGAATAGCATCTTGCTTATCTGCATCTCGTACTAAGTCTGCACAATGTTTGACACAGCTAATTAGCCCTCTATTTATAAGAAAAGGAAAAAGTTACTTTAAAAGTAAATAAAGAATACATACATTAATAAAAAATCATTTGTTATTTTTGCACCCATTAAAACAGTCAATACATTCAACAGAAAACTTTAAAAGGTTTAATTAACTTAGCTCATAACTATTTTGCAACCCATTAGTAACATTTTGTTTTGTTTTGTTTTGTTAGAGAAATTGAAAATAATAAATAATTAATAATGTTTTCTTTTAATTTTCTATTTACATCTTCAAACCTCTATTGTACCCTGTTCATGGCACTTGGGTTACTTTTCAAAAACTCTTGCCAATTCTGTATCACATATTACTCTGATATTTGCATATTTGTTAAATTCTTTCATTATCTTTGTTGTTTTGGGAAGAGAGATTCATTTGAGTAAGCATTCATTTAGCAAATAAAATCTGAGTATTCTATACCCTCATGCATATATTTCATATGGTAAACATCTTCTGTATTTTAAAATCTTTCCTTTTTTCAAGTACAATGAATGATTAAGCTTGTCGAGTTCAAATTCTCAACAGTTGATGTATGTTTGGCTTTTACCTTCAGTAGACCTTCATCAAATATCACATCCTTTATATTTGACTTGCATAATGCATTTGCAAATGATCTAAACCTAAATATCAAAAACCCAAAACTGTATAAAAGATAACTTGATATATATGCATTTTAGAGGATAATTATCTTTTGCACTTGTTTATTCTCTTGAACAATTACTAAAGGGCTTTCATTCTCCAAAGAATTATATGACCTACAAGTAAAAGTCATTGAATAACTAACAATGTTTATTAACATAGAATGCATGATGTAAAAATGCTTAATTAGTATATTGAATGCAAAATATGTAATGCCTTTATAAATACATAACTATTAATTTAACCCTCTAAGCGGTAAGGCCGTATATATACAGCCTAGAATAATTTTTGAAGAACGTGTATATACTTGCATATTAAAATATGTCAAAGACATTAAGGCCACATATCAAAAGTACACAAATCCAGGTATGAAATAGCAGAAGAGTTTTTATATTAAAATGAAAAAAAAATCATTTGTTCTCATAGTAGCTTTGGGAAATTTGTGCTTTCTTAGCGAAAACCCTGGCCGCTCGGAGGGTTAAATTATCATGCCATATATTCCAAAATGGCTTAAAATTTAAGAAGCAAAATAATATAGATAATAATTTCTTACTTGTACACTAAAGCAGCTGCAAAATGTCCTGTTATGTATGCATCCATCACAGGTTTAAAATGTTCAAATTTGTTATCTTCTAATAAGCTCAAGATATGAACCTAGATCAAAATAAGCCTATTTACATTCAGTCAAAAAAGGGGAGGGGACAGTTTTATATTTGCTGTTCTATTGGAGTGATTGACAAACTTCAACTTGCATTGTTTATGTGTCAAGAGTGTAACTTAGTATATATATTAATTAGTATACAATATTGTTCTAACATGTGTATTTTGAGACAAAATTGGACATTTTGCAAAATTTGGAGTGAAATTTAATGAGTATTTCAGAAATTTAGACTGGCACTTTTTTTTTTTTTTTTTTTTTACTTAGTGCCAAGAATAATTCACTTGGTGGATTATTAAGGCAACCTATACTATTCATTTTCCTTGAGTAGGGGAAAATATTGTTTTTCCTTCCAATATATTTTTATTTCATATTACATTTTTTAATCATAGTTTTCATTCTTAGAGTTTTTTCCATTTTAGAATTTCATTTTAATTATTTGAGTTGAGTACTTGAACTACAGTTCTTCAAATAGTTATTTTAGAAATTTCTATTTATTCATAAATGTGTCCCCCCCTCCTAATTTCATTTATATATTTAAACAGAATTTCTTTCCAAAGTTGTGCATGATGCAAAAGTTGTAAAGTTCTGCATTTGTTACGATTTTCAAAGGCATAATGACGAACACTTTGTTACCCAGTATTTGCCATGATGCCTTTGAAAACTGCATTCTGCAATAAAAGATAAAACACCATAAAGCGTGGTTAATAAGCCTTTCAATGGGCTGTTCAGAAGAGATATATAAATGAGAAAGTTGTATTATCTACATCTTAATTTAGAATGACATGTATACAGACAATTTTGCATGGTTTCATCACTGTGCTACTACTGCTTTACACCTTTTTATCCTCCTACATTTAGATTTTTAAAATATCATCTATATTTCCAAATACGTTCAACTTTTTCATTTTTTAAATCTCAAAAATTAAATAGTATAACATACAAAAAGACTAAATTTTCAACAATAAATAAATAAATAAATAAAAATAATTAAATAAATATTTATTTTCTTAATGCCTTACTGCCTCAAAACATAAATACCTTAATGACTTTCTTGAGGCATTCTGCAGATATATCAGCAATCACCCTTCCTTTTTTATTTGCTAGATACCATACTCACTTTTGAAATAGCTTGTTTTCTGTGACATTCTTAGTTTTGTGATTTTCTTGGCTTTGTTCTGAATCTTTAGTCGAGAGAGCTTCTGACAATCATATCTTGCTGACAGTATTTTTAACAAGCTGTGTTTAAAAATTATGTTTCTTACTAGCATTTCTTACTAGCTGATATTTTAAATATGCGTAATTTTTTTCAAGCATTCTTGCCAGCTGATACTTTAAATATATTTAATGTTTTTTTTCAATTTTCTGCCCATCTTTAGCTGCACACTAGCAGCTGAACTTTCCAAGTTGCTTGCTGAGCACTGGTAGTTGGATCTGGGGTTTGAAACCCGGCCAATGGGCTGGCTGCATGGCCAATTTTATGGTTTTCCCCATGAGTATGCGAGTCAGTTTCCCTTCAAAAATTGTTCACAAAGGCTCTGTTCCCTTAAGCAGGGAGCCCTTAAGTGCTAAGCTATAATCAAATAAGCCAAACTAAAACAAGCCTGTCTTTAGCTTAGATTCCAAGAACACCAAGTGAATACAATAATAGAAAATGCAACTGAACTTTCAAATGCACTATGGCCTGGTAGTTTAAATACTAATGCATAAACAAAACTCTGCAGTTTGCAACTCTTTACTCTTACGAAAATTTATTCTTAAGATTACTCTTAAAATTTACTATTAAGAAAACTGAAACGAAACAAACAAACAAAAAAAAAAAAAAAAAAAAAAATTGATTTATTAATATTTCTTAACTTTTAAACTTTTGATTAATATTCTTTATAAATTTAAAAATATATTTCCATGTATCATTAGCATTTATTAGGCATTATTAATAAAAGTGAAAAGAAAGAAATGCCCCCATGAATGATCCTTATTAAAACTTTTTGGAAATTTAAGGTTCAAAATAACAGTTGCAATTCATTGAAGATTATGACAAAGAGCATAAACCACATTTGACATTATTTTTGCTAGTTACAAATATGACAAATTTGAAAACGTGCTGTTATATAAACTCAGATATATCTTGGGAAATCTTGAATAACAAATTCTTCAGTATACCTAATATAGTTGTAATATACAGTAGACATTACAACTAAATTAGGTAGAGTTGTAATATACAATATGTATAGCATAGTATAGTTGCAAATATACCTAGAAATGCATATTCTTTAACAAAATATTTTTAATAAACAAATTTTTAATAAACAAATATTTTTATTAAAATAAATAATAACTTTACAAAAATTACTTAAAAATACAAATTAAAAAATAAATCACAAAAAATAAGCAAATTTTATTTGGACAGAACCTAAAGTTTGAATCCTAAAAGAAGGAATGAATTAAGTTTAACAAAGAACAGATATAAATACATATCAAATTTAATTATCATTAAGGAGCTAAAAATTTTTAGACCCAATTTTTTAAAAACTACCCAGGCAATTTTTATGAAACTTGGGCATAATTTGAGGCGTAGGATCAAAATATGGAAAAGAAATCAGTATGCCATTTAAAAAAAAAGTTCAGTTTTGTGTCAAAATACTTGTTAGGAAAATGCTACATATAAATCTAATATATATCCTAAGTCACATTTTCAAGATATGATAAATGCAAATTGAATTAGTCACTTGATCTGGTTAGTAGAATGGAAGGTATAGAACTACTCCATTTTTTTGACTCAGCATACATATAGGTAAAGTGAAAAAAATCTGACATTGTCTCTCTCAAACTGCAAAATTCTCTTAATTAAATAAAAAGGCTTTTAATACAAATACTTTTGAAAATATCTTAAGTATATACCTATATCGCAGATAAAAGCTAAAATAAATAAATAAAGCAAAAGGGTTCATTCTGAATTTAAGTTTTATAGACTTTATGCATAAAATACTTTTTTCAAAATTCAACCATTGTGAATCCTAAGCCTGTACATTAAAAGTACTAACACAGAAACCCATTATTCCCCCTTAAGCAACAGCAGAAATGGCCTGTTATGCCACTAATAAATGGGTGATCTTGCCATTATATAGAGTTTGTGCAATGAGTGTTTGGTTGGTGCATGCTGGACAAAGTCAAACACTAGCTATTGTAAAACATCTGATATATGTAAAATAAAAATGGTACTAAATTTTTGAAGGATTTAGTAGAAGCCAGATAACTCATGTTGTTATAAAAGTGTTAAAAGTTGTTTCACAAATGAAGCATTATGAAAAGAATTTATTTGAAGCCTGTGTGAAATCAGGGAATATATTTAAACAAAATTGCAAACTCAAGCTGAAGAAAAAGGCACTTAAATTTCCATTAGCAATTCCAAGATGCTATAAATAAAACAATAAAAGCATTCAACTTATATTAGTTCAACTATATTTTATTTGACAATTTTTTTTTTTTTTTTTTTACCAGAAATACTTTGTCAGACTACAAACATTAAAGACTTTGCCAAAATAAAAACAAATGAAGCAAAAACACTAAATAATAAATCATCTTTCTCCAATCATAATGTGCAAAACAGTAGCAATGTAGCAAATTGCAGTGTGCTGAAAAACTAGTTGGACACTTTAAATAAAGTGGGTTTGCATATATAGTCATGAAAATGGAAGCTAAATGTATACCAGAAGTTAAAACAATTTAGCAAAATCATAACCAAGCACTGTAAGTTCTATAAAAATGCACGGTATAGTAAAAGTCAGCACATACTCACTGCACCATAAATCCTGACATCAATGTATAACGAATACATCAATGTAAAACAATTTAATGAAGGAACCTCCAGAATCTTGTTGTGTGTCACAGTTGATCAAGGGATAACAAAATTAGACTTCAGCATTTTGCAGTGATACTGTACTCACCTGTCAACAGTATGACACTGCAGGATGCAGAGATAATCTGCATAAGCCTCCTAATGCTACAGTGTGGATAATTTAGAAGCATGTCTTATGGCCATATCAATAGAAGGCAATATAATATGGCATAAACCTTGAGAAGATTCCTTGATTATTTTAGTTTATCTAAATTACACACACACACAAAAAAAAAAAAAAAAAAAAAAAAGAATAGAATAAAGACTTTGTTATTGTTTACTTTCCAAAAAGAAGTCATTTATAACTTCCAAGCGGTCATGTATGTTATGGCTGGTAACATATTCAATTTATCTTTGTAGAAGATTTTCATTGTGGTAATCTCTCACACTGGCATGCCAATATACTACTAGCTTTACATAATTGATGCAAAAAGTTGTCATCCTGCTCCTCCAAGTGTGAAGAATGGTAATCATATGGTGTTAAGTTAGAACACAGTGCCACCTATTGGATATGGGGAGAAACTCTCATTTCGCCGTCTGGATTCGGCTAAGCAACATGCCAAAGCATGTATTAGAACTGAATGTAGTTAATTACTGTAAATAAATTAGTTAGTTCTCTATTATAAAGTCCTCTAATTAGTTTAGAATTACAGAGTCATAGTACATGGTCAGCACAGCCAGAGAAGTGACCAAATGCTGGCATTAAATAGAAATAAAACTTATTAAAAGCAAAACTAACTAAGTTAGAAAATGTAGTGAAGAAATATGTAGTAGTTTGAATAAAAACGAAATTCAAATAAAGTATAGATCCCTTCAAAGTATTTAAATGGATATTAGAAACTTGAGAAATTGATATTTTGAAAGTATTGATAAAAAAGATGTCACAGCCATCGATGAAGAAATCGCTGAAATAGAAGAAAGAACTGAAGTACTAGAGGTAAGAATTATGGAAATTCTATCATCTATCACTTATTTTGAACATGAAAATGATTGTAGTAAATTTGATTTCAAAGTATAAATATGTTTGCCAGAATTACCAGCTCCTAAATTTTCTGGTAAATATACCAAATGGAATAATTTTAAGCTTCAATTAGAAAACATCATAGCTAATAACACTCAATTGACAGAAGTTCAGAAACTCTACTATTTAAAGGCTGCATTAAGTGATGAAGCAAAAAATCTTGAAACTGTTGATGAAACTTTCATTTCTCTATTTAAAGCTCTTTAAGATAGGTATGAAAATAAAAGAATATTAACTAAGATGCATATTAAGTCAATAATGGATTTACATAATTTAACATTCGAATCGTCTAAAAGGATAAGATACATTATAGACAATGTTACTAAAAACGTTAAGGCTTTGAATGTTTTAAAATATGAGAAAAATAATTTATTGGACATTCTGTTATTAAATATCATACTTCAGAAACTAGATTTTGAAACACGCAAACAATTTGAACTAAACATTAATGCTACGTAAGTACCTACCTTTGATGAATTTTATTTTTAGAGAAAAGATGTCAGTTATTGGATAACATTAACTGTAATACTATTGAATAATTGAAATAATAAATAATAATAAAGTGAAATATCCATTAGAAAAAAGTGTAAAATCAAAGGCTCTGATCGTTAAAATCGATAGTGTTTCGACTTGTGTTATATGTAAAAATATATAATTATCCACTACATAAATGTGATTCATTTTTAAAATTAAATCGAAATCAAAGATATGAAATAGTTAAAAACCATAAATTATGTTTAAACTGTCTCAGTAAGGAATGTTTAATCGCAAAATGCAATTCTAAGTTCAGATGTTCGGAATGCCATAAAAAACATCATTCATTAATCCATCGCCTGCTTAGAAACAGTGCCATCGATCAACAGTTAGACAAAACAAAAATGGAAGCAAAGTGTGATGAAATTATTAACAAGAATGCACATGTCTCTAATAAAAATCAGTTACTGGATGATTAGTTGTCTTTTTATATGGAGAAAAAATGTTTTATTAGCAACTGCAATAGTATATGTTTGTAATTTAGAAGGAAAAAGAATGCCAGTTTGTGCAATCCTTGATAATGACAGCATGAGTTGTTTTCTGTGTGAAGGAGTTGCCAATTTGTTAAATATAAAGACAGAAAGAATTTATGCATCTGTATCTGGAATAAATGAGAACACTACAAATATTAATTATCAACTAGAGGTACAGATATCGAATAAGGATTTAACATATGTAAGATCAATTAATTGTTTGGTTATTTCTAAAATAACCAGTGTAACTCCATCAAGGAGTTTAGATGTGCAGTCATTAATATTCCCAATGATACTAAATATTAGCTGATTTGCAATTTGGAACACCAAACAAAATAGATATGTTATTAGGGGCCAAACTGTTTTTTGAGATTTTAAAACAAGGAAAATTTCAATTAGAAAATCAATCCTTGATATTCCAAGAAACAGTTTTTAGGTATACCACATCTGGTACATGCAAGAGTAACTCAGAAGTAAATTATTGTGGTTTAGTTCTGAATACTGAAGAAAAGGCCGACAAAATTTTGCAAAGATTTCGGGAAGTTGAATCCACTGAAAATATCAAGGAAGCTTTGAGTGAAGAAGTAAATTACTGTGAAGAACATTTCAAGCATACTCACTATAGACAAAATGATAGAAGATATGTAGTTCAGTTACCCATTAGAAAAGGTGTACAATTAGAAGTATCGAAAATGCTGGCTGAGAAAAGATTGTATAAAGTGTGGAGTCGACTAGAAAGCAATTCAAATATGAAAACACTATATAATAATTTCATTAAGGAATATAAGGATCTAAATCACATGGAAGGAGTTCAAGAAATTCAAACATCAACTTGCAATTATCATAGTCGTCATGGAGTTTATCGACCAAAGAAAACCTACCAAGCTTCGCATTGTTTTTAATGTATCAGTGGCTACTAGTAATGGAAAAATCACTTAATTCAATTTAATGAAAGGGCAAATACCTCAAGAAGATTTATTTTCGATTATTAGATTTGAAAAGTACAACTATGCATTAGGAGTTGATGTTCAAAAGATGTACAGACAAATACTTATTGAACTATCTCTAAACAAAACCTGCAGTTGACCTTGTGGAAAGAATCAGTTGGTAGTCCTGTGCAGACTTATCATCTAAGGACTTTAACATACGGAACAACAAGTGCACAACAAGACTTCACAACAGGGGACCTGAAGCAGTTAACAACAGATGAAGCGACTGAATTTCCTCATGCCTTGAGCCATACTGAATGACTGTTACATGGATGACATTATCACTGGAGCTAATACGCTGCAAGAAACCAAGGAGTTGAGACACAGTTAAACTGTCTTCTAGAATGTGCTGGAATGCAGTTACACAAATGGTGTTCAATAATACAGAACTACTGAAGAATAAAGAATGTGCAACTCAGAATTACTCCTTTCAAGTTACGGATAAGCATCAGGTTACAAAGTCCTTGGGAATGTCATAGAATATGTCTACAGACTGTTTTTCTTACAATTTAAAGATACAGGAATGAAAGAAGAAACAGGAACGAAAAGAGATGTCTTGTCAATGATAGGTCGTCTCTTTGATCCATTAGGTTTAATTGGACCTGTTACGACAAAAGCTAAAATATTTCTACAAAACTTTTGGCTTCTAAAAATAAATTGGAATACATCTCTTCCTAAAAATTACTTTGAAGAATGGAAGGCATTTCTGCATAGTCTCAAAATAGTCAACAAATATTACATCCCTAGGTTTGTTCTAACCAATGGATTACAGCGAATAGAAATTATAGGATTCTCTCTGATGCTAGTCAGAAAGCCTATGGTGCTCCAATTTATGTGAAATGTACGTCATCTTCGAATGAATGCTCACCAAGACTTCTCTGCAGCAAGTCTCACGTGTTACCTTTGAAGTCAATTACCATTCCTCGTTTGGAATTTTGTGGTGCAGTTCTGTTGGTAAAACTAATGAAACGAATATTAGAGGCTATTCAAATACCCATAGTTAAAGTGTATTATTTCATTGATTCGTCAATAGCGCTATCATGGATAAAAAAGGAACCTCAACAACTAAAGACATTGTTTGTTGCTAATACAGTATCTGTTATTTGCAGCATGACTGCTGTTCATGAGAGGTACTATGTCAGCACTCATAATAATCCAGCTGATTTAATATCACATGGAACTGAACCTAAAGATCTTCTTCATAATGATTTATGGTAGTATATGGTGGCAGATAGTCCTTAAAGTTTTAACTGATACCATTCATTATGATTTTAATTTATTTTTATCTTTTAATTACAAAAAGTACATATTTCTTTCTGTAATAACCTAGTATTTAAAACATTTTACAGATAACAGAAGGAAAAAATTTAGCATTAAACATTTTTCATGTTGTATAAAAATATTCCGCACATAAAATTTGCAAAATATATAAATGTACTTACCAAAACTTTAAAAACAAGGCCTGAATGAGACGTTGAATTTCCATCACCAGTTGAAAACATAGAAAAAAGTGCATCTAAAATGTCCTGAAGAAACTGTAGAGAAAAATTCTAAATTAAAATGTTGAAGTTAAAATGTGAATAAAAATATCAATAATTTTTACGCAGTTATCATGTAAAGTAAATACCTACATAATGAATTTAATCTTAATAAACATAATAACTACATATATATTAGGATTAAATTGAATTTACATTGCTTTCATAAATTAAAATTCTTTGTCTATTAAAAGTATAGTAGTTTCATTAAATTTAATTAATTTACTAAGTTTATTTTTAAGTTTCACTTAATCAACTAAGGAGTTTATTTATTGCATTATTAAATTTATTATTAAGTTTCACTAAATTAACTACGTAGTTTCATTTAATTAAATTGTCTATTAGAGTAAATGACCGTGCATTTAATGCTATAGAATGTCCTATAGCCTATTCAATTTATCTTTGTGGAAGATTTTTACCAATATGCTGATAATTCATATAACTGATGAAAAAAAGTTAACCTCATCCTTCCAAACAGCTGTATAACATTGGGTGGCAAATTAGTTTAACTTTTAAAATTCTTTAATTGCAGGATAGTAATGCCAAGTTATGTAAATAATGAATTCCACAGACATTTACATAAATTGAATTTTATGTAAGTGTGTGTACTGTTAATTTTTGTGTATTGCTTAAAATAACTTAATAAGAAAATGTACAAAATTTTACATAAATATGTTATTCACACACTATTATTTTATAAATGATATATTAACATTATGCAACAGTACTCATATAGATTTAAGTTATAAAACACATAAAAAATGTGTACACGACTAAAAACAAAACAGTCTTATTAAAAACAAACTGTTAGTATAAAATGACTTATATATATAAGTCACTATATATATATATATATATATATAAGTCACTATATATATATATATAATATATATATTTAATTTTAATTTTATTTTTATTTTTCCACTTACTGTCTGAATGCAAGTAGTACAGGTTAGTGAAAGTAGGAACTGGTTACAGAACACTTATATCCAACTGATAGATTTGAATACATAGGCTTTTGTCACTATGTAACTGGGAACTTAATGTTAAGTCACGTGTTATGCAAGTCAGAGAATTACTATAACATAACTCAAAGACTTTTAAAACCAATAAATTTTGTTTCTTGGAACATCGCAATATTTTGCAACAGGGCAGTCTACTGTTTGTCTCATGCATAAATTAGGCTACTTTATTACATAATATTAAAAAGACAATAAGTAATGCAAAAGAAATTCTTAAAAATTCATTTAATTAAAATTTAAGAATTTACAATTAAAAGTTTCAAAAAACAAAAACACATTTTTAAATATAAAAAATCACAAAATGTTTTGAAATTACAATCTGATCTTCAGCTTTTGGTTCAACAGTTAAGTTAAACAGTCATGATAGGCGTACTAGTTTAATTAATTCAAGAAACTACAGATACTGGAATATAAAATTATTTTTTAAAATAAATTGTTCAAAATAGCTAAATCAAATATTTGGGCAAAAACAAAAATTTGCTATTATTCTAGCATAAATTAAAAGACTGGGAGATTCTAGCACTCATTTAATTAGAGATTTAAACACCCAAGATGTAACTGCACATTACCCTCATCCCCCCCCATACACTAGACTGCTTGTGTATGAAGCTTGTAACAAATATTTCTTGAAAGTAAATTTGGCATAAATTTCTATTTTCCCAGGACAAAATAAATAAATAAATAAAAATGGAGTTATGAAAGCTATCTACAAGATGCTAAAAAAAATCTTTGATGATGAAACTACTGTTGTTAAGGGAAATAACACAGATGATCATCCAACATGCCTTTCTACATTCTAGAAGGATCCAGTTTTTGCTTTTTCAACATTAATTCCCATAAAGGAAGTAGATACATTTACCTTTTTCTATTTATTACTTTTATACCAAGTTATATAACCATGTTACTTTTATATTCTGTTTCTACATTAAACAAAGAAGAATATTTCAGAATGTCAGAGATTTTCTCCCCCTTTTTTTTTTTTTTTGCATGCATCCTATCATGCATTCAAAGAATTTACACAAAACAAAAAGTCTAAAAAATTATTTATCTTATTATTTTGGGTTTGGAACATTCAATTTGTATATATACATTTATATACATGCTTAAATTAATTCAAATGCATATACCTAACCGTAACTTAATTTAACAATAGATACTCTTTTAAAGACTTTTGCTGCAACTTATTACAATTAATGAGTCTTTTTAAAATCAGATTAGAAGAAGTTATTTTAATAACTGAACAAAATGCATGATAAGTTATTTTAATAACTGAACAAAATGCATGATTTTATTTATTTATTTATTTATTTTTTCAAGCAATCTGAAACTTTTGCAATCACTTACCAGGTTTCCAAGGAGATTTTTCAACATTAACTTTACTTTTACTAGCAATGCTAAAAATTTAGCTGGTAGTTGGTTCAAAAGTGTAATAAATAATATTGTTTTACTTAAAGGCTACTCAAAACAAGAAAAATAATAAAGAAACCATCATGCTCTTAAAAATAAAATCAGTAATTTTATTAAAAATCTTTCACATATTAATGATTACATGTTATAGATAAGGTACCTTAACAGTTTCTTCTCCATTCAATTTCATGACTTTGTGCAATGTATCTTGTATTCTTTCTGGGTGTGCTTTCCACTTCAGAAGAGAGAGAAGATCACCTAAATTAAAAGAATTAAAATGAAATATCTTTAATACTTTAATGACAGGAATTACTTGTTCTTTACATGTATAATAATTGTATAAACTAACACATACTAAGAACGATTATAAATAAAGTGATATATTGATTTAATCAGTACAGCATTGATTTTAGAGGCTGAGTTCTGATTTGAAGTATATCCTAAATTTTGTACCTAAAATTTGCAAATTTAAAGCATAATCTCAATAACTATCCCCTATAGAGTCTACAATTCTGAAATATAAATTCCCTGTTTTTTATAATCCTTCTACAATAAGTATAGATTAAACTTTCTTCAGAACAACATGAGATGTAGGAATTGAGAAGCCAAGCAAAAATAAATAAATAAATAAATAAGTAACCAACATTAAGTGCATTTTCCTTGAAATTATGTTTTGAGGACTGGTAAAAGTATATGGCAATATTATTAGAACTACATTTTCAATCAAAACTCATTAAAATTACAGTTAAATTTCAATATTGAAACTAAAACCTACTCTTTGATTGTTTATTGTTTTTAACCAAAAGAAGTTGGAGGAATTACCTTATTTGACAGCATATAAGACACACTGACACATAAAACACACCCTTATTTAAAAGGCCACACACACGGAAAAAAGTTTCAATAGTTCGCACGACTGCGTGGTACCTCAATAACTTAAAATGTGGTTTCTTTTAGTTCTCACGTTTCATAAAAGTCAAATAAACAATCATTGAATGCAATTACCAAACATATTTTTATTACGGAAAATTAACAAATGGCAAGCTATTTTGAACATGATATGTAAATTTCAATAATGAATAAATGAATGAATGGCAAGCAATCAAACATAATACAAAATAAAGCAGAAACAACAAAAAAACACAGATTCAAGGAAAACATTGCCTATCATGAAATTAGACTTTAACCACTTTCAAAACCATAAAAATCCTTTTCACTATCATCATCATCGAAAATGAGAATATTGTCATCACTACTGTTTCCGTCATCGCTAGTATCACCTTCTTCAAATAATGCGTCGTCTTCTGTTCCGTCAAGAGCATTACTGATTCCGCACTTCTTAAATGACTTAACAATTACTTCAGCCTTTACATCCTCCCAAGATCTTTTTACTTACTTGCACACTTGTGAAATAGAGGGCCACTTCATTCTACCTGAGGGTGTGAGGGCATGATGTGGCTCTCCTATCCACTTGTTCCATCATTCTCGCACTTTTTCCTTAAATGGCTTATTCACCGATACATCTAAAGGCTGCAACTGGCTGGTCAGTCCACCAGGAATGACAGATATCTGGGTTTTCAATTCTCTCGCTTTATTCTTTATGGTTTCAGTTCTATGGGCGCTAAACTGATCCAAAACCCTAAGAGAGGGTTTTCTTAAGAGTCCATCAGGTCGCCTCATCCATACGTTCTGTAACCACAGTTTCATTCCAGCTTCGTCCATCCAGCCTTTCGGATCACCATGAACAATTACACCCGTTGGAAGTTTTTCTTTAAGATGAGTTTTTCTATTGAATATGAAAAATGGCGATAGTTTTGTGCCATCAGCACAACATGTTAGAACTACCATATATCAGGTTTTTTCATGATCTGTGGTTTTTATGGTTACTGATTTAGACCCTTTAATACTCACAGTCTTGTTGGATGGTACATCAAATGTGAGTGGAATTTCATCCATATTTCCTATTTGACCGAGCTCAAAAGAAGTTTTCTTGGGCGCATTTATAACTGACCTATGAAATGCTAGTATTTTTTCTTCATAATCTGCTGGCGTTTTCTGTGCAATAGTTGTTTTTGTGCACATTGATAAGCCTTGCCTTTTCATGAACCTGTAGCACCAGCCCTCAGACCCTGAAAAGTTCTGATTCCCATGTTTTTCTGCAAATCCTTTGGCCTCATTGATTATCATTTTGGTTGAAACACTTATCCCAGATTTCCTCTCATCTAACACCCACATTTTTACGGCATTTACAAGTTCAGACCAAGATGGAGCTGGGCATCGAAGGTTATGCTTTTGTTCTTTAGCAGTGTTCAGTTGATCTTCCTGCAGTTGCCAAGTACGTATAATTTTTTTGGTAGGTGGTGGACCAAAATGCCTTGCTGCTACTCTGTCCATGCATTTTGGCGTAGTTTAACACTTCTAGTTTATACTGAATTGTATAGCTTAATCTCTTGTTTCCTGTAGTCATATTTTTCAGGGTATTTTTTTAAAACAAATAGTTTTAAGCACCGATACCGTCATGTTTATACAGAGTAGCACTGATACCGACATGTGTGTCGGCTGAGTCAAAGAATGTCTATGTAAAGAAGGAAAGGCTCCATAGATGTAATGTGATCGTCGAACCTGTTCGAACTTCAACATCAGCTTGGTGCTTTTTGGTGTCAGATATTTCATGCATGTGCAAAATAATTATGGCAGATGTAAAAAAAGTTATGTGTGTTTAGACCTTTTATCCAGGCTAAAAATAGCATTTAATATTGAAAGTTAACCTGTGTCCTTCACATGTAAGATGCAGGTAAATTTTTTGAAACCAAATTTAGGGGAAAAAAGTGCATCTTATATGCCGTCAAATAGGATACTCAGTTTCTTTCAGGGAAAAGGGTTGTTGTTTTTCCCTTGAATAAGAATTTATTTGAAATAAGTGATAGCAATAACTTTATATCTTTAGATAATAAAACCTGGAATATTTAGCTAAATCTCCACTTTATAACATTTTATTTAATGAGGACTAATTTCAGAGATCAGTTTATATGATGGAAACAACCTTATTGAGTATATATATATATATTTTCCTTCACTTGAGATTTGCACAGGTCTTTCAATAGCAATCATCTTCACATCTATCTGGTCTCAATTTGAATACACTTCCCTTTCAGCATTTTAAAAACAAACATTCAAAATACAGTCTTAAAAAGTTAATTAAAAGTCTTAAAAAGTTAGTTAATTCAGAGTTGCCATTTACTTCTATGAAAAAAGTATAATTTATATATGATTTTAAATATTATTTATGTAAATATTTCAATGAAAAAAATCATAAAAATTATTTTTGGAATCTTTCTAAATTTTCTTAGTGAAGTTTCCCATGAATTAATATATATGATAATGTTACATTACATTAAGTTGCATACATGGGGAAGTCAACAAGTAAGTCATAAAAAGAAAAATACAAAATAAACCAAAGGGAACCTGTTATTTCTATTTCTCAGCACAATCTTCATGATTATTTATACACTTGTTCCATCCTTTTATCAGTTCTCCAAATTTAGCCTCATATATATATATATATATATATATATATTTTAATGTCTCATCCTAATCCTCAATATTATCATCATTTGCACAGGATGCCTCTAAGATGTTTTTTTAGATGACCAAATAGGTATTGTGATCGTTATTGCTATAGCTGTTATAGTGTACAGTACACTTCTCAAATCAATTCTTCCAGCCTCTACACTTTTGATTTCATCTCAATCTGAGCAAGATACCTGCTTTGGTTTTCATGCCAAACTTTGGAAGGGCCTTGAAAAAATTCCTCGATCCATATGTGGCAAAAACTTTCCATAAACAGGAAACATTTCTTTATGAATATCATTCAAAATCCTTTTGCTTGTCAACCTTTCCCTCCCCCCAAAAAAGCAATAGAAGATTTTTAACTAACAAGAAACAAAAGAAGATTTTCAACAATCAATAAATTAGATTGCTAGTACACTTACACTAAAAAGATTTTGTAGAAAATATTTACAGTGCACTTCTGTTTCATCTATCACTTTAGTCACCTTTGAAATAATATCCACAGGAATGCACATATTTGTTCCACAGCTCCACATATTCCTGTAAGCACTGGTATAATGTGTCTTTTGGTAGAATCATAGAATGGCTGTCACATCATTTTGGATAGCTTAAATTGTTTGAAAAAATTAGCCTCATAGAACTACTTTGATCGAAACCAAGTGGTGAGCAATCTGATTAATAAATGACATTAATACATTTCAGATCAAAGAAATCCAAGCTTCTTTACCCAAATGCATTTTGTTTAAAATGTAATATCATACTGAATGATTAAAAGACATTTAACATCATTCACCCTAAAATACAAATTTATGCTACCAACAATGATATCTCCTAAATTTTTCTACAGAAAGCTGGCCAACATCTTTTGATAGCCAAATTCAATTGCAGCAAGTTTTACACAAACTGCATAAATTTTCCATAAAAGTATTTTAACAAAGGAATACATTTAGCTAACATTATATTTCAAATTTTTACTGATATTTTTATATTATTAGAAAAAAAAACTTGCCACATTTAACCATTTTGAACACAGAATCTCATATATTGCATCAACTTTGATAAATTTCTGTTTAGTTATTACTAATTATTTTTTCAAAACAGATCAAATCAATACTTATCTATCTAAAAATGTCTCATTACATACTTTGGCATTCTTGCAGCAGTTTCCTAAACTGAATTTGTTCAAAGAGATCAAATTATTTGTTCAAAACAGATCAAATCAATAGTTATCTACCTTAAAATGCCTCATTACATACTTTGGCATTCTTGAAGCAGTTTCCTAAACTGAACTTGTTCAAACAGATCAAATTATTTGTTCAAAACAGATCAAATCAATACTTATCTACCTTAAAATGCCTCATTACATACTTTGGCATTCTTGAAGCAGTTGCCTAAACTGGACTTTTTCATTAAATACACTATGGAATTTTTTTGACTATTACCCATTGTTCATAAAATAAACAATGAAATTTTTTTGACTATTACCTAATCTAAGTTTATTGGTACCCAACCAAATTTAGATGTAAAGGACTAATTACCAAATTCTTCAAGATGAAGAATATTAAGTTATGTTGCAGTGCTCTGCTTACCACATGATGACATAAAGATCAACAGAATATAGAATATACTCCGAAAAATCAGCCATTTGCAACATAAACAATCTAGTTATTTAACCAAACAGAACACATTATAGTTTACATTTTATTAATATTTAAAAATATGACACTAAATTACATATAATCTACATTGCATTTCCACTAATTCTCATGAAAACAAAAACCCAAAACTATCTCAAGAAAGGGAAAATAATAATACCATTTTGTGTAAGCTTTGTCGAACATAGCAAAGTCCTGATATGAACTGTTTCTCTGGAGCTGCGTGAAAAAAACTGCCCAGCTGAAGGACTAGGAAATGGGGGTGGAGAAGGAGGTATAGGAACACCACTGCTGCCAGTACTGCTAGGAGTTGTGCTACCACTTTCTTTTGGTCCACTGGGAAGACTTAAGTAAACTCTAGGATCTTGTAATTTGGGCCGATCTTCACACTAAAAGTTACATATCAGCATCAAATATTAAATAAAATACAGGATCAGTATACACTCAAATTTTTGAAATAAGAGCAGCACAATGTTTTCCCAATACAGATTTTAGAATGAATGCAGATAATTTCTAATGGAGATTTTAGGAATTAAAAAGAATTAAGTTATATATATATATATATATTTATATATATGGATATCCAAAAACAGGCAAGAAAAAATACTAGCTGTAATTTGTATCAGTCTTTTTAAGTCTCCGATTTTTACTTTTTGATCTAAAAACTGTAAATAGTTATAAGCTGCATCATTTCAAAATTAATCCATATCATATGATACTTACAGAGTATTAATGATGCAAGTACTTACAGAAGACTTTAGCATCAATTTTTTTAACTAAAGCTTAAATTAACCAGTCACAATTAAACCATAACTGCACCAGTCTTAAGCAAACCTTCATTTGGAAACTATGGATTCATTCTCTGCTGGTCTCTCCTGCTAAGCCTCGTGCCACCACTTTCTTAAGCAAATATGCCAAAAAAATGTAAATGTTTGTCTATGCCAACTTAACTATGTGTGTCAAGGAACTATTTTGCCAAGAAATAAAATGTACACCATGACTGCAGCTACATCTTTATACACCATTTCTATGCACCAAGTTCTATTTCTCTATAATCACAAAGACCACTGCATCATCAATTTCTATGTTATTACTTTTATGTATATTAAATGAACAATTTATTGATATTAAATTACATAATCTTCAAATTTCTGCAAATAATTAGAATCATAAGAGAAGGAATTAATCCTCTCCTGCCCCCACCCCAAAAAAACAGAGAGAGCAAAAAATAAAATTTCAGCAAATAAATAATCTATAGAAATACAAATCTGGATATAAACATCTTTGGGTTACTTATGTTTCAGGTAAACCTTTGGGTTATTTATGTCTTAGGTAAATCTATCTTGTGAATGTTTTAGGTGATTTAACATATAGAGATCTTAACTATATATTAACCCTCTGCAGTCGAAGCCTTTTTTGCTTGCGTGAACCAGCAACTCAAGATGATTTCAGTATATTAGTGAAGAGCTAATACAGCTGAATTTAATTTTTCTAAAGCTTAAAGCCATATTTCTTTTTTTTCCCCGAACAAATGCTATGCTGAGACTAACTAAACTAAGCTAGGATTTGGTTAAGAATACCAGCCAAACCTGGCCAACAAAAGTACTTCAGATAAAAATATCTTATTGCACATTGTAAATAAACAGATTGAGTTTCAAAACGCCACAGTGCTGGTACAGGATATATCAAACCTCTCGGGCGCCATAGCGGTGCCACTTGAGTGGCCGCTTCAAATCGGCTGGGCACCGCTCAAATACAAAGGGTTAATACATTATTGACAAGCTGGCATCTTTTATTATTTCACTGTTTATGATGGCAAAGTAACCTCACATTTTTCATTAATAAACTGTTTGCGACAGGAAATGCAAATTGCTACCTTTTGACTGTTTGCGAGAAAAGCACTATTTCTCATTTTTTGACACGTCATGTAGTAACATGTAAAAAAAAATTTTAAAATTAAAATAAATCTTTCAGTTTTTATATTATGCCCAAATGGCCTTTTTTTAGAGTTTTGAGCACCATCTTTATGTATTAAATATTATGTTCATCGCACTTAAACCATAGAATTCAATTCAACAGCAATATCGAAAAATAATTTTAAAATGACCATATCTTTAGAATGTCCGATACACAGCCTCGCATGCTGGAGATAAAAATGTTATTTTTTTCAAACAGTGTTGCCACTGCTTGCTTTGAAACATCGAGTTTCTTAATCAAAAACTCATAAATGCTTTGCAAAATATAAAATAGATTATAAAACAAATTCCAAATTTGGGTTTCCAGATGCACATATTCAGAGGGGGATTACGTTATTCAAAATTCGATGACTCTAGGTACCATTGTTTTATCACAATGCGAGAAACATACATAGATTTATGCAGATTCTTCATTATTTAATTTCTTTAAATATAATGCAGGGCTCTAACATTTGGTGGCAACAATTTCAAAAGTGATACATCATTTATAGTGATTCAACGCAAAAGGCAAAAAAGAAATTAATAGCCCTTCTGAGCTAATGCTCCTTTGAGCTCATAAAAAATAAAATAAAGTTCTGTAATATGGTGCGATAACATATTGCAGACTTATATATGCTTTCTACTGTTACTCAGTGAGATCCTAATAGTGATCCATCTCCAGTGGCGGCTCACTGCAACACCCCCTATTTCCAGTTATTGTTATTTTTAATATTTAATATAGTATGCCCTTTAGTCTTTAATTCTTTCTTTATACTTTTGCAATATATAATCCTTAAGCTTAATGTCAGTAGCCATCCCCCACTTTGTGAGAAAGGTACGAAAGTCTTTGGAACTGCGCGCTTCACAGTTCCAGCGACGTAGTGTTTGGCTGTTCTGCGCATGCGCACACAGAAAGCAGCACGTGAGCCATGCAGAGAGAAAAGCACTGTCGCTCTTGCAGTGCCGAAATTCTGGCATGCTGTTGGAAATGTGATTTCCTTTTACTCCACGCGTGTGGTATTTCTCCACAAGATGGAACTTCATCATACGGACCATAAACAGAGTTTATGAAAATTTGCAACCTTTAAAAGATTGCCTTACTGAAATTCAATCAACATCAAATGCAAAACAATAACAACAAAATGAAACAATTGTTCCTATTGCAAAAGCAATAGGAATTTTAAAATATCTAAATGGTGATAATTTCAAGTTTTGGTTAGAGCATTTTTTATCAGATGCCTCATGTTGAAATAATATACAACTAAATGCAATCCAGAGAAATTAATGTGTTTAAAGTTAACGAATATATAACAAATTTTAAAACTGCTATTTTAGAATTAAGAATTTCAAAGTAATGCGAGAATTTCTGAAAGACATTGATGGCAGAAGTTAAGGAAATATGTGACTTTATAACTATGTATTGATATAATGCACAGATATTCTTCCACTAAACACTTAGCAGCTGCTAAATTGTTAAACAAGAAATGCTTCACTAGTTTTAGGAATGAACATTCTACAGAAGAAATAGTACTCACCACTGAAGCATATCCAATGACTGACAAAAAAAAAAAAAAAAAAAAAAAAAAAAAAAAAAAAGCTTGAAATTGAGCTAAAAGTATTCTGTTGTAGGTCTGATATCCATGAATACTGCAAATTAATTGAGCTACTGAAATTTATCTTCGAAAATAATCTAGATGATGTTCTTAGTGAAATTACGAAACTGATAAATATTCTCTTGAGAGTTTCCATGACTACATCAGAGGCAGAACGCTGCTTTTCAACACTGAAAAGGATGAAAACTTTTCTAAGGAGCACTAGGAATTTGGAAAGACTAAATGCGCTTGCATGGCTTTCAATAAAGAAAAATTTCCTGAGTTGTCATCCAGAGATCAAGGAGAAAATTATTGATCTTTTCGTGCAAATTAAAACAAGAAGAATGGATTTCATTTTTAAATGAATAGACAAACATTGAGCTGTAACAATTTTGGTTAAAGTAATTAAAAAATGTTGAATTTTTTCTTGTAAGATTTCATGAAGTTTCAAAATAATTTTTTTTTAAATAAATTTTTGTTTCCTTTTAAACAATTTTAAAACAAAGGTTTTTTTTTTTTTTTTTTTTTTTTTTTTTTTTTTTTGGGAACAGCACCCTCACTAATTTTAGCCACCAGCTGCCACTGTCCATCTCGACAGTTATCTGCTAACATGTGACAACATACTTGAAGAGAATTAATCAACAAAAACAATCAAAGAAGAAAACAATCAAAGGCAAAGAGAAAATGCCATGTATGCACTGCAAACAAACAAACAAAACAAAAAAAAAAAGATAAGAAAAAAAGGGGGGACATATTATATATGTAAATTTTGTATGGTAATTTTTCACTAAAAACATTGTTTTCAAGCACACTGTACCAGAAAAACATCACTAAGAAATAATTAAATGTATGGATTTTTTTAATAAAATGCTGCACTTTTCATTTTTTAAAAATATATTACTTAAAAAAGCATGCTCGAAATACAGACCATATGCTTTTTAATGCACACCATGTGTTAAGTTATATATCTATGAATAAAATGTTCAACAAAATCTATGCTTAATCACCTTTAAAAGGGTAAATAACAGTCAACTTCTATTAATTGCACGAAGTTGAGGATTAACTGAACAGTCTTGAAAAACGTTACATTTGTTTATTGCAAAATGATAAAAAAATTACTATCAGTAACCATCAGAATAACACTAAACTATTCACAAAAATGTAAAGAAAAGTGCATGAGATAATAACAATGATAGCTGATGATGCCATTACATGTGAGAGTTGATTTATTCAAAACAATACATGTAATTGTAAATACTGCAAAATATATAAAAGCTTGTTTGTAAATAATGAAAACTATACAAATAATATGCAATAAAAAAATTTACAGTTTTACACAAATTTGAAAACAGCAGCATTGATTAAAATTCGCTTGTTTTTTCAATGCCATTTAAAACTCAGTTTCTTCATTTTAATGGTCTTTATTCTTCCATTAATTACAGTGGTTTTTTTTTTTTTTTTTTTAGAAACACCAATTTAATCTACACAAACAAACTTATTATTTAAATCATATGACTAGAAGATATAGGTTAATTGTTAATAGTATTTCTCCTGTTAATATACATTATTCCTCAGAACCATGATTTTGAGTTGATTCTGGATATCATACCTCCCAACTTATCAGAGTATTACTCTGATAAGTTGGGAGTTAATTGTATATTATTTTCAAAAAATACAGAACTTAGAATTACAGTTTTTACTTATTATTATTTCACTTTAAAATACATAAGCATAAAGGAATAATTTTCAAGGATTTTAGTTTTCTAAAATATTATACACTAAGATAATATTAATATTTCCAGTGAAATAATATAATTTTCACACATTAGTCTTATCCTTTAATTCAAAGAGATATAAGGGGGAAAAAAACATGAAATGATTAAAAATCCTAATCCTGATCCAATTTTTTCCCTTTTTCTAAAGAGAAGTAAACAACTTTTGGCCAATTTATACAAAATATTTTAGATATTGAGTTTAATTTGGAGACCAAGGAATTTTCTCTTGTGGCATTATTCAGGTGATATTTTTTTTTATTATACCATCTGATATTATTCTGATGTTAAAGCATGAAAACTCTATGAAAAATTACTTGATGAATCATATACACCTTTTAAATCTAATTAATTATTTACAATTTAAAAAAAAGCATAAAATAAATACACTAATTTTGCATTACAAAAATGCATCTAAGATTACTAAAATAAAAAAAAATTGAGGGGTGAATCAATCATTGCAAAACAAATATTTATTCTGAGATACGCAGAGTTACATGCAAAGAAATACAAGCAAGTAGAGATAAGTAGCAGAGAAAACGTTTACAGAGGTCATATATATAACTTTACAACAGATCATGGTTTAACAAATCATAAACCAGACACAATAAATAACCAATCAAAAATAACATAACGAATGGGATTAAGTTTCAGAATAATTCGGACCTAACTGAAAGCTAATGAATGTATCGGACGTGACAGAAAGCTATACTTCTGTTAACCAATAAGAATGCAATTATAAATATATCAACACTTCCCCTTAATCGCACATTATACAAAACATAAAAGAATTACACAATTTTTAAACAGCTCAATGATAACAGTTCATAGAATTTTGTTTTGGACAAAGCCTTAGTTTATATATCTGCAATTTGTAAACCTGCTTGTACATACATATTCAATTCTAATATTATTTTCCTTACAAGTGAACTTTAATTTTATATCTATATGCTTCAACCTACCTGAAAAGTTTTCATTAACAATACTTTTGATACATGACCAGTTATCTTCAAAAATATAAACATTTTTAACACTGGAAATTTCATTTACAACATTTTTTTTTATCCATAAAACATATTGAATACCTTTGCATAAAGCAATTATTTCAGCTTCTGTTGATGAAAGTGCAATACACTTTTGCTTGTTACAGCATCACATAATAGGACAGTTTGAAAACATCATAAAGTAACCAGTAATTGATTTCCTATCTTGCGTATTCCCCCCCCCCAATCTGCATCTACATACAAACATAAGTTTGCCCTTTCCAAATCCCCCTTTTTTGTATATCAATTTTAAATTTAAGGTGTTTTTCAAGTACCTAAGAATTCTCTTTAGAGCACACCAGGCAACATCAGTAGGATGCTCCTGCAGTTGGCTTAAGCAATTTACTGCAAATAAAATATCTGGCCTTGTAATAGTATATGCTAAGTAAAGTAAAGATCCAATTAATTCTTTGTATGGGCCATGGAATGCATTTCCTTTCTGAAAATCAGCTGCTGAAGATTTTGGTTCAATGGGAGTTTGGGCTGTTTTACAATCAGACATTTTAAATTTATTAAGTAAATTTTCAATATACAGTTTCTGATCTAAACATAAACAACCCGACTCAAATTTCAGTCTAATGTCTAAAAATTCTGAGACCCTATCAGATTTTGACATTTGAAATTCACTAGACAACTATGATATTATAATATTTGTTTCTTTTACATCCGAACCTACAATTAATAAGTCATCTACATAAAGAGCCATAATTACTTTCTTACAATTTAGATTTCTGATAAAAATACATGGTTCAGAGTCCAACTGCTTAAAATCTAATTTAATAACAAAATTAAGAAATTTCTTGTACCAGTGTCAAGGGACTGTTTAAGACCATATAAACTCTTTTTAAGTTTACATTTCTTAACACTCGTATCATCATATCCTTTTGGCTGGTCCATGTAGATGATTTCATCTAACTTACCATTCAAGAAAGCTGTCTTGACATGTAAAAGTTTGCAAACCTTCATTATTGATAATTACCAATATTAAACGTAAAGAGCACATACTAATTACTGGAGAAAATGCTTCTGGTCGTGCCTTCCTTTTGCATAAAGCCACGAGCAACAAGCCTGGCTTTGTAAGTTCCATCCCATTTTTTACATAGAACCCATTTGCAGGAAATGGCTCTTTTATCAGGGGGTAAACTTTGTAGATCCCAGATGTTGTTATCTTCCATAGATTTCATTTCCTTGTCCATAGCTCTTTTCCATAGTTCTTGTTCTACTTGTGGTAGATTTACAATATCTTCAAATGTCACGGTGTCTTGTTGTGCAAACATTACTTCATAAATCTCAGGATTAGGATACCTAACTGGCTGTTTCTTTTCTCTTGAAAATTTTCTTTGTTCCTCCTTTTTCTTTGCAGCATTTAATTTGCCGTTATCAGTGTCTGAAATTGATTTGTCTTCATTTTTAATGTCATCATTGTCATTTTCACTCAGATCAGAACTATCGGAAATATATTTTTGATTTTCTACTTTCTTCTTTTCTTCATTAAATTTAACATTTCTGGATACAATGATGCGTCTTGTTTCTGGAATCATTAAACGATATCCCATTGTGGAATAACCTACAAATATCATTCTGACAGATTTTTCATCTAGTTTCTTCCTTTGCGATGGTGGCACAAGAGTATAAGCATCACAGCTAAATACATGCATGTTTGTTAAATCAGGATTTTCACCATACTTCAGAAAATAAGGAACACAATTGTCAATCGAACTATTTGAGAGTCGATTATTTATATAAGCAGCCATACATACTGCTTCACCCCAAAGGATTTTGGTAAATCTGCCTCAAGTATCATTGCTCTAGCTTTTTCCAGTACAGTTCTATTTGCTCATTCAGCAACACCATTTAGAAAAGGTGTATAGGGAGGAGCAGGATCTATTTTTACACCTGCTCTTTTAGCAACATCATGCAATTCTCCACTGTCATATTCTTTGGCATTGTCACAGCGCAGTCTCGTAAGAGTTGGATTCAATTTAAAAAATAGTTTAAGTTCATCAACAATATCACTTTTTCTTTTGAGCAGTCTTATTTCCATAAATCACGAGTAGTCAACAATTATAGTCATGAAACACTTTTCCCCCATGGATTGTTTGAGGTTCTATTGGACCACATTTTATCAGTGTGTATAGTTATAAGCGGTTTGGATTTTTTTATGTGAGGACCCTTTCCTATAGACAAAGCACTTTGTTTGGCACAAACACACACTTCACAAAAGGATTCTTTTGAAGGAAGATTCATTAGTTTTAATTTTTGATCACAGCAGTGTCCTATTCTTCTGTGCCATAAATCATCATTTTTTACTGCTAAAGCTGTAAATAGGTTTGGTGAAAAATCTTTTACATTAAGTACAAAACAATTCTTTACGAGCACTAATAAAAACAGAGTTGTCCGTATTTGGTTTAGAATACTTATTTTCACTTTTATAATCAATCATAAGAGATTCATAATCAATAAGTCTGCTTGTGACAAAATCCAAATTAAAATTATAACTTGGTTGATTTTCTAGTGATGCCTTAACATTTTCATATTCCTTTGGCAAAGACATTAAAATGTAAATAATAATATCAAAGTCGCTTACTTCAGATCCAGAGACGCGTCGACTACTCACCAAGTTCATTATGCTGTCTCATTGACACATCCTTGGATTTTCTTATGGTAGCTAGACGTTTACGCGTAAAAATTTGACTCACTGCTCCTTTAGCACTATATGTAGCTTGTAGTTTCTTCCATATTTTACATACCATGTCTTCACGTTGAAGAGAAGCAATAACATTATCACTTAAAAGAGCAAGTATTAAGGCATAAGCCTTTTTTGATTTCAAAACATCTGCAACTCTGTCCACAATTGCTTCTGTTTCCAAAAATGTATCCAATTCCCTTGCCGTAAATACCGCTTGAACTCTTCGACACCAAACAGTAAAGTTATTAACACCATCAAATGGTGCAACACCAAAAGCTTCCGTTTCACTTCCGGCTGAAAAAGCTATCATTCATGAAGCACCAAAACAAAATCACGTGAACGATAAATTATTACACTGAAATAGAAAGTTCAATTAGGGAAAATATCAGTGTATGCTAGTTTTGATGAACCACGCTCTGCTGTTAAACATAGAAAATGCCGCGATTCATAAAACAAATATTTATTACTGAGATATGCAGAGATACACGCAGAGTTACATACAAAGAAATACAAGCAAGCAGAGATAAGTAGCAGAGAAAACGTTTACAGAGGTCATATATATAACTTTACAACAGATCATGGTTTAACAAATCATAAACAAGACACAATAAATAACCAATTAAAAATAACATAAAGAATGGGATTAAGTTTCAGAATAATTTGGACCTAACCGAAAGCTAATGAATGTATTGGACGTGACAGAAAGCTATACTTCTGTTAACCAATAAGAATGCAATTACAAATATCTCAACAGTGATGATGTCAAATTATAATTAAACAGCAATTCAAATAGACAAAGTATTAAGTTTCTAACTAGTATTCAGCTCATCACCTAAATGAAATAAATTTTGAATTGGGTTGAAATTAGTAAACATATATCTTACTTAATAAATATATAATTCATGAGACCCTAACTAGTATTCAGCTCATTACCTAAATGAAATAAATTTTGAAATGGATGGAAATTAGTAAACTAAATCTTACTTTATAAACATATAATTCATGAGACCCATTTTTCAAAATTGTTCCTTTATCATCCATTAACTGAATAAAAGAAAATCCTAGTAACTTTTTTTCTTTATCTCTGGCTGAAAGAAACAAAAAGGACAAAAACAAATTTACTCATACAAGTAGGAATAAAATACAATAAAAAAGCCTAATAGAGTACAAGTCTGAAATCCAGGCATCCAATACCTAGAATAATCTAAAATCCAGACCTCCAGACCAAAATTAACTTTTTTTTTAGAAATATTTTCTGGAGCATGCACTTTTTCATAACAAACATGTAGAGAATTCTGATTCTTAATTTCATTTGACAGTAAATAAAATGCCCCCATATTGAAGAAATAATTATTTATTAGCATAAATCAGAATAATCAGTAATTTGGCTCTGCCCATTTGCTTGGCATACATCTCAAATCAAAACATTCTACATTGAAACACTATTATTTTATGCCTGCTAGTACTTTTATGCCTGCTAGTACTGATGTCAACATGGTGAATCATTATTGATTATTTTTTGCTTTTATCACCACATTATTATACAACACACACCAAAATTGGTGTGTGTTGTATAATAATGTATCTAAACACTTTTTTTTTTCTTTAATATTAGAACATCAAAGAGTATGGTAACCTTTTATGTTGATACAGTACAAAATCCGAAATCCGAACTCATTGGGACATTGCCGATTCCGGTTTTGGAATTTTTCCGGATATTAGATCATCAATTTAAATCTGGTAAGATGGCATGCAGAAATTATACAATTAAAAATATGAAATTGTAATTTATGAAATAAAGAATAATTATGATCTAAAGGGTCTCAAAATTTACAAAAAAAAATTATATTTATTTATTTACTTTATTAAACATTTCTTTAAGTTCTTTAAGTTCTTTAAGTTGCTACCACAAAAAATTCAAAAAGTTCCTTTTTCTTTTTCCTTATGTCATATACAGTTGACTTCCCAATGCAATACCACTCGCATAATTTTGAGACAGATTGTAGATCCTTTGGCACCTCCAGAATTAGAAACTCTTTTCAACATAATCCAAAATTCAAGCTTAGTTTTTATAAATTTGCTGTAATAATAACAGTCTGCAAAAAATAATAAGCTGGATCAAATTAGAAGATTATGGAGCAGCGCAGTATGCTACATTAACTGAAATGCTTTAGAATTAGTAAAGATAATTTTAGTCTAGCTTATTAGCATTTGTTATACATTATTGGCTGTGTATCACAAGATTGGCAATGAAAGCCAAGTTGTTTCACTAAATTCTGTCTTACTCCTATTGCGTACTAAGCCTGAATTGTATTAGTTATTTACTATACCTATGTTTATTTCTTGCACATGTTTAAAACTAATCTGAGTCCTAAATAAATAAACTCCCATATATACTTAAGGCTTTATCTACGGCAGGTGCTAGATACCACTTAGTGCAGTCTCTACAGGTCCTAAATTCTGCTACAAAGCACCTTTCTAAGTTCTAAATTTTCACTGCACCTAAACTTTGGATCCCAGTGCTTTCCCTAAATCATAAAAGACTTATCATCCCTTAATTTTGCAGCTCAGTGCTTCCTCAAATTCCAAAAACTTAGTCTTACCTAAATTCTGCTGTCTGGTGCCGACATATTCTGCCGTCGCTTCTGGGCTTATGGTGGATAACATATCAGTTATTCTTAATTAAAATAGCACTAAATGTAATCTTTTGACCTATGAGTTTCATTAACAAAATCTATTTTTAGCATATGAAAAGAAATTTTTCCTCGTCAACATTTCTCAGAGCATTTAAAAATCTATACTCATCACCAAGTGTAATGTTAGCATAAAAGGTTGCCATACTCTTGTTATTCAATTCCTAATATAAAAAAAAAAAAAAAAAAAGTTTAGACATTGAGGCATGAGTTATAACTGAAGCTGTCCTGTATTGATAAACATGTGGTGATGAAAGCAAAATATAATAAATAATGTATATAATAAATAATAATAATGCCAGGTCAGCATCAGGGATGTAAAATAGGTGAATGTTTGGGTTTGAGATGTATGCAAAGCAAATACTCAGCTATAGAGCCCAATTATTAATCTCATAAATTTATGCTTACATGATTGTTTTTCCATAACGAGGTATTTTATTTAGTGCATAAGTGAAATTTAGAATCGGAATTTTTAAGCAAAAATCTCTACATGTTTTATTATGAAAGAAAAAATCAAATGTGCATGCATAAAGCATACATGAAAAAAAAATGTTTGTGGCTTTGAGATTCGGATTTTAGATCATTCCGGATAATGGACATCCGGATTTTGGACTTTGTACTGTATTACATTTATTGAACACAGCAGACTTCAGCTAATTGCACTTGGAAGTGCTGAGTGTGTTAATGAGAAGAAATTTAACAGAAATTACTTTCAAAATCAAAAAAAAGATTTTGTAAATGATACACATAAAGAAAAAATATTACGTTTAGTGCTGTTTGAATTGAGATCTAGTGTGTTACTCAGATAAGCCCAGAAGCAGCACCAGAGGTGATGCAGTGACAGTAGACAGAATTTAGGAGGCATCAGAGTTTTTAGAACTTAAGAGAACCACTGAGCAGCAAAATTAAGGGATGACAAAATCTTTAGAATTTAGGGAAGGCACTGAGATGCAAAATTTTAGAATTTAGGGAGGTGTTACTTGGCAGCAGAAATTAAGAACTGCAGAGATTGCATTAGGCAGCAAAATGTGTAGTGCCAACACTAGATAAGCCTTAAGTATATGTGAAAATTCATTCTTTCAGGACTCAGGTAGTCATTAGCATGTCCAAAAAATACAGGTAAGTAAAATAAATAACTAAATTAATATAATCTAGGCTTAATTTCATCAGCATGTGGTTGAGCAATATACAATTTAGCTGAAAAGTATATGTTAGTCGCCAATCTCATGATACATTGCCAACAGTGTATAGCAGATGCCAGCTAAATTTTATTACAGCAACAAATTTAAAGGTTTCCAGATATCACAAATAAAAAAACTAAATTTTCCAAGTAGTGAAATTTGTGAAGTAATGCAGAGAGCTGGTAATAAATGGATGATACAACAGAAGCTTCTCACTGCAATTACTATGGCTTAATCATTAATTAACTAATAAATGATGAAATCCATAGGATGGTTCACTATAGAAAACTACTAGTAGCAAAGAGAGTGAGAGAGATGTTCCTGGGAAAAAAATAAAAAAATGATTGACAATTTAGTGGGAATTCTCAACATGGCAACTACAGGAGTTGAAAAATGGAACTTCATAACTGAACAAGAAATTAGGTCTATCTAAAGAATTAAAAAGAAAGTATCAGCACAAAAATTGAAGAAATTTAAACAACTTACATTTAAAGATGTTTAATAAAACAATATTTTTTTTTTCAAATTTTGATTACCTTATGGTCATAAATGCTACATTATTTCATAAAACACTTTTTCATATATTTTGCTTTATAATTTCTGCTTGTCATCTTACTAGATTTAAACTTCCTAAATCCAGAAGAGCCCAACAAGTCCCAATGATTACAGATCTTAGACTTTGTATTGTATGTAATATAACAATACGCAATTTTTTAATTGTATACTTTTTTAGAAACACTTTTTTTTACAAATTATTAAATCTTTTTTTTAAGTAGTTCTAAAATGAAATCATTTTTCATATTTTAATTACCTGAAGAATCTGACATGCATATATATTCTTTTTGATACTGCAAGCATTGTATAGACTTATTTAGTTTACAAACTGATTAACAAAAATATAAAAATATTTTCTATAATAGAGATATAACATAAGGGATGCTATTTGCCAAACTGTTGTAATAACACACCAATGCATACGATTCTCTAACAAATTTTTATCTATTTTTATGTACTTTCATAAAGTAATCAATACATAAACGTACAAAATAGTCTGCCACAAAAATATTTAGTAAATGTAGTTGCAAATACTGGAATGAACTCTATTATTTTCAAAGCAGAATATAGCATTAAATACATGAATGTTACAAAATATTACAAATTGGAAGAATAGCCATACAAAACAGCAACAAATATACTTCAATATAAACTACAAAATAATTTAAATTAATTTTTTTTATTAAGGAAACAACTATAATTTTAGAATTTTTACATATGTTTCATTTTTGATACATTATGGTTCACTAAAAATTTCATTTAAAATTTTTATTTTACAATATTCTACTAAGTAATTAACATATTGAGGGTTAAAAATGAAAGAATTTAATTTTCAAATATGTTCTCACTTGAGCAATGCCTGTATTCTATCCTTACATGGGCTCCGTCAAACTTTTCAATTGGTACTGCAAGCTAAAATGGAAAAACAATGTTGCAATAATTTGGATAAAAAATTAGCTTTACAGAGGATGTTCGTACATTTTTTAGACGATTTTGGTAAGCGGTAATAAAAAATCGTTTGCTGCAAAAGAAGTAATTGCAATTGTACTATGTTTTTAAAAGTCAAAATTATCATCCTTGGCTTGAAAGTTTTGTTTTTATTCAAAATGGCAAATTTAACAAAGCAGTGGTTTGAAGGCTACATTTATGCTCTTTCCAAAGAGAAATATGCATACTCCGTTATCCAAAAGCGATGTGAGAGTCATTGTTTTGTGATATCTAAAGCGTCAATAAGTAATATCATCAACAAGAAAGGAAAAAAAGTCAAATTGGAGCCTCAAGTGGGACAAAAATTTCAAACAAGTATCCAAGGAAAAAACAGACACCTTCGACTATTGCAAAGGTACGTTGTTTAATGTTAAAAGAAAATCCCCCCAGTCAAAGGACAGTTGCAAAATCATTAAAATGCTTGGTGTCCACTGTAAACAAAATGATAAATGTTTATTTAAATCTTAAGAATGCGAAAAAACGCAATGTGCATCGTTTTCTTCCAAAGCATATTGCTCAATGCAGGACACGCTGCAGAATTCTATATGAGAAACACTTATCTAAAGAAAAATGGAAAACAATTGTCACAATACATGAAACATGGGTATATTTAAATGATTGTAACAAAAAAGAGCCATTTATTATCATAAAAAGGGAGAAAAAAATTTAAGTACATGGTTCAAAGAATCGAAAGAACGTTTTTCTAAGGGATTCATGATTGTTGCTGGTTTTTCTTATAATGGCAAGTTAAAAATAAAGAGAGTGCAAAAAAATGTCAAGATTAACTCCAAATACTATCAGGAATATTTTATCACCAATTTTTCTGAATGAAATACCATCGCTTTACCCACAGTGCCATCAATCTGTGAGACTCCATCAGGTCAAAGCTAGCAGTCACACATAAAAATCCACTGTAAATTTCCTAAAAGAAATGGAACAAAAAAACTAGTATCAAGGCAATACCCTTCACTGATATCCCTACTAAATCTCCCGATGTGTCACCTATGGATTTTTGTGCTTTTGGACTTTTAAAAACTGCATTATCCAAACATTGTCCCAAAACCCTAACAGGACTCTGGAAAGCTGTTCGGAAGGAATGGGATAGAATACCTCTTCTGCCACTTCAAAAGGCATTATTATCCTGGAAATTGCAGTGTCAAAAGATAGTTCAGAATAAGGGACGCCAAATAGAACATTTAAAACACAAGAATTTTATGTAATTTAGTTTTGTGAATACAATATACATCATCTAAATATGTGTGAACAGCCTCTGTATTACAGCATTTTTAGTATCTCTCTGACATATTAAAACTGAATCAAAGAAAATACATTCCATTTCAGATGCACACATAAAAACTTTGATGCATTTTTATAGCTTATACTTTATTAGCAATTTAGCTCATAATTTTCTACTTTTATTCTAAATACTTGAATTACTTCAAGAGATTTTGTACACTCAATTCCTAAGCAGGAAATGATGACTTTATTTTTATCAAAAATAATTGCAAGCTTAAATATCTCTTGAATTGTTTATAACAGTCTCGCGTTACAATCTAAGAAATTTAGACACTGACAACAATAATTACATCATACCTTTTAGTTCTCCCTAGAGTCATATATACTGTCCTAGTGCTATACTCTGACAGTCTCAGCTCTGAAGGCATAAAATGCATGGATCTGGTTTCCGCTCTGAAAGTTTCAGATTCTGAAGGCATAAAATACATGGATCTAGTTTCTACTACCTGAAAGGGCAGCCTATGCTCTTCTTCAGGGTAGTGGCATATGCCATCTAAGAGAGCATCATGAGAGCCAGTAGAATACTTTCAATATGAAGCTGGTTCAGTTAAGTGGTGTTTTAGAGAAAGTTCAATTTAAAAAGTAAGTCAGCTGTGGACTGGAAACCCAGTGGTATTGCAGCAAGCAAGTGGTTTTATTACTTTTCTATAAGAAGCTTTTGATGTGGGCCATCCTCTTGATTAATACAAGGGTTAAGAGGAGGTCAGTCCATGTAGTACCTTTAATTAGATAAAACACATATCAATCCTGATTGATATCTTTTAACAAAAACTTAGTATTTTTGTATGAAATGAATACTAGGGAAAAAATGAGTTTTAGAAATGCTTCTCATAGATGACACAATCAAACAAAACAAAAAATTCCATTCCAATACGATCAAAAGTACCCGCAAAATATCCTGAATTAAGCACTAAAAGCAATTATGCTTATGTTGTAGATACTAAAGTAATAAGAATCACTATAAACTGCATACATCAGCAGAACTAGTTTCGAAGGTTTTAATAGAAACCTTCTCTTCAGCTGCAAGAGTGAAAATGATTAAAGAGAAGTACATGTTTGTGTGATATTACATTAGTTAATATAATAATTATGCATGTTCAGCTTTTAAATGCAAATTTTGGGGGGGAAAAACTTTAATATCAGAAAACCATTTACACAGAAACACAAGTTTTAAATCTTCATTTGTTATAATGCAAAATTTCAATATTTTGTAAATTGTAAAATTTTATATGTTTTCTTGAACTGATACATCATGTGAAAGTGGTTTGACCCATATAATTTTGAAATTTATCCTGACCAACTCTGCATATCACAGGTAAGTTCCTTTTCCCGAGAACAAGAGCTTTTTAGTAGAAGACAGAACAACTTACAACTGGAACTTCCTACACATAATAACTATGTACCCCTTCCATTTTGATTATTTCTACTTAAAGATAACATTGAAAAAAATTGTCTTTGAAGACAACAATATTCAGTTCATTACTTAAACTGGAACTATGGGTATACAATTAACCATTCAAATGCTATTTAATCTTACAATTGCTTTTAAACATCTTGCATATATACATAATTCATAAAAATAGCACAAATTAAAAACACATAATCAAAAATATGTGCAGAAAAAAAAGCAATTTGATTTATTACTTTTTTTCTTGTTCCTCTATAATCATAAATGCATATGTACAGACATATCTCATACAATTTCTACTGTTTTCTGTAGCAATCAACAATTTCATACACTTAAAATTTCTTGTTCTACAAAAGCATATGCCTTAACATTTGTCATTACAACTTAACTGGATAATTTAATTTTTTTAATATTTTCCCCACATAGCACACTTTTCCACATTTTACATAACTTCACTATAATAGTCACTTGGCCTTGAAGTATGAGCTGTTGTAAGGCAACTACTGACAAAGTCACGGAAATGGGAGAAATTTTTCTCAATTTTCCCTAAACAAAGATCTGGTCTGTGGTAAATTTTATCATAACACAATATACAATATGTTTAATTAGAGTAATCTGTATTTTATTCGAGAAGGTTCAATGTTTATTGCACAATATCTAAAAACATTATTTCTTTGATGAAAATAATGCTTTTTTTAAATAAAATTCAAAATATTACTTTTTTCTAAAGCTTTTCTTTCAAAAATATTGCCTTTTTTTTCACATGGAAGCTTGCAGATTTAAACATGAAATATACCACAGATAATCTTTATATGGTTATTCATAAGATGGCAAGAGATTCATATAATGCCTCCAAATGATATCATTAAAATGCATTTATTAACAATCACATATGTAGTTGTTTTAAAAATTTCATCAATCCCCTGAAATTTAAAAAAGGCTTCTTCAAATCAAAATATATTTTTGGTGCACTTTTGCTTTTAAGTTGCAAGAATACTATTTGAATATCTACACTTGATATACATTTAATCACAGAACAAGTCCTGTATTTAAAAACATAAATTTATTTTTTCCCCCGTTTTGCACATTATGATTGATGTGAAACATTTTGCTAACATTTGCTAACTTTTATTTCTTCTATCATAATTGCCTTTTAAAGATTTAGTTTTTACATTCATTTATCTTTAATAAATATACCTTGATCATCTCCATCCAGCGAGGAGTATTGTTATGATACAGAACAATAGAGTGATATTCAGACACATTTTCATGACCTGAACCAGGATTAATACATTTCTGAAAATAAAATGAAATTGGTTACATTACAGGATAAACACAAATTAAGTAATACTCAGAAAATATTTTTTTAATATAATACTGAACATATAATTAAAACTATATTACAGCAAACATTTTCCAAAACAAATTCAGACAATATTATAATCATTGAGATAGATAATTCAGAAAATGATTGTTAAAACAATTTCAAATAATTATTAAAGAAACTTCCAATATTTTTAAGAAGGCTCCAGCATTATGAATGACCTGACTCAAGGTATTCTATACTTTCAAATAGGCTCTCAAAGTTCTCCATAAAAATAATTTATAATTAAATTATTCAGAAATTAACATCATCTAGACGGAGTACACAAAAGTTAATCTTAATACTTCAGTACACTTTCAGTTTTCCCCAGTAAAATCTCAGTTATTACTTGATGATAAATGTTACCCAATCTTCTGATCTCAGAAATACACCATCCAGTAGTTAATTAACCAGAACTATAGCATACCCCACGTCTGCTCTAATGGTGTAAGCAGAAATGTATCCATTTAGCTAGCATTGGATGATCTACGGTTAAATCCTGAGAGAGACTCAGGAAATCTTGATGCCTGTACAAGTGTATGCGTATATACAAAGTGTTTCATAGAACATGGGACAAACTTGGAGAGGTGGTGGAGCATACTAAGACATGCATTTTTTGTATAGGAATGTAGGGTCTAAACTGACGGGTTAAGGTAGGAACGCAAAAAAAACGACATGAGAGGAAAATGTGTTTATGTATCAAATCAATGCAAAGTGCTTCTTTGCAGTAATACAGTATTCACAATAAATGTTCCGAAAAAAGAACAGTAATAGAAACCTACAGCTGTGATTTGGGCTAGCAGTGCAGTGGCAGAGGGCGGTAGTGAGCTGGACAAACCACGATCCGATGAATCAGAGGATCATTTGCAACACTGATGTCGAGTGTGATGGGTGAGTTTACGCACAGGAAAAAAGCTGACATGCATCTCATGTATCATGCTACTAATGGGAATGGTAGAGCAGCGCTACGGTTGTACCAGCAACGGTTTCCAAACAGGCGTATGCCGAAGCACATAATGTTCGAGAGGTTGCATTGGTCTCTGTAAGAAAAACGGGTCATTTAAAGTCACCTCTGACACTAGAAATGGAAGAAGAAGTGCACCACAACATCACATTGAAGAATCCATCTTGAACATTGTGCATAAATCACCTCAGACAAGTACAGAGCCATTGCACGTCATCTGCAGCTGAGTCATTCCACCGTTTGAAGAGTATTGCATGAAAATGGTTTGCACCCATACCATTTGCAGAGAGTCCAAGCCTTCCAAGAGACACATTACACTCTTCGAGTTCATTTTTATCATTGGTTCTTGCAGCATTATGCAGCGCAGGCGGATTTTCCAGCGGATGTGCTATTCATGGACGAGGCAACTTTCTCACAGGACGACATCTTGAACAGCAACAACATGCACGTGTGGGCAACTCATAATCCACACGGCAACGCATCCACATGCATTCCGAGACCCGCTTCTCCGGGAATGTGTTGGCGGGTATTATTAACGACTACCTCATAGGCTTATACCTCTTACCTGCCCGTACAAATGGCTTATATTAATATGCCATACCTCTTACCTGCTTACAAATGGTATCATATTTTTCTGAAAGAGGTGCTACCGGATTTGTTGCAGGAATGTTCCGGCTCTCGTCCGTGATCGCATGTGGTTCCAGCATGATGGTGCACCAGCCTATCACCACTTACGGGTCCTGCAATTACTTGGATGGGACATTTCCGGACCGATGGATTGGCTGTGATGGAACCAGTTCGATGGCCACTCCATTTGCCAGATTTATCCAACTTGGATTATTTTTATGGGGCCATCTGAAGAGCATAATTTACGAGACTCCCGTTGACTCACTGGAGTACCTCGTTGCACGACTTATCTATTGCGGTTGCAAGCGTGCGCGAGATGCCTGTCGTTTTTCAAAATGTTCGTCAATCCCATTATCGGCGACGTTACCAAGCATGTAGGTGGTGGTCGCAATTTTGAACATTTATTGTGAATACTGTATTGCACAAAGAAGCACTTTGCGTTGATTTTGTACATAAACACATTTTCCTCTTTTTTTTTTTTTTTTTTTTTTTTTTTTTTTTTTTTTTTTTGCATTTTTGCCTTAACCCATCACTTTAGACCCTAAATTTCTATAAATAAATGCATGTTTTAGTATGTTCCACCACTCCTCCAAGTTTGTCTCATGATCTATGAAACACCCTGTATATATATACACACTGTATATTTCCAAGCAGAAGCCGAGAATTTTTGGAACTTTTTCTAAAGTTAATCAATCAATATACTCTTATGCCGAACTGTTGCTGTTTTGAACGCGAAGTTGCCGGCTCAACTATCCTATATCCCGAGAGGGCACTTGACGTGGATTAGTCCTGATGGAAGTTAAAATTATGGAGATCAGCTTATATATGGATCTGCTAATCTCGCAAAAAAGGGTAGGTACTTTTCTGTTAGCTGGGCACAACTGATAAATTGCTAGATCTGATATTGGTAAAATTTGCAGCTGGCTTTCTTTACTCTCAGACTTGTTTTTCATTTATGTAGAAATGCTGAACAGGCATACTCAAAACGTCAAGCAATATATGCGATCATCTGTAGTTTGAAATCCTTTTATTTTTAAATTTATTTTCCTCACTATTATAACACTTCCTTTATTTTTTCTTATCCATAATATGCATTTATCCTGCAATATTCTTCGCTATCATTACTACTATGTAATATATTTATACACAAATATAATAGACATATTTGTGTATGCAATTTATGTAAATATTTTCAATATCGTCCATATAATATATAATATCAATAATATGTAATATTATTTGTACAACATATTGTAACACATATTTTTCAAATTTACAATAAATGCTGTTGATCGCCTTGCCACTCCCCTGGCTGGGCATAGCATATAATAGATGGTCTCACCAACTGAGCACATCAACTTGGAAGGCATCAAACCCTCCTTCCCCCAAAAAAGTTTTCTCTTGGTTAGTATCACCAAAGAAGAAAAATATAGTTCTAATGAATTTCTTTAGAATGTTTTCAAATGACTGTGGTATTTTTCTAATTTTTCTAATCACTGTTTTGGTTAATTTCATGCTCACTTTAATAAATAATTATTTGGATTCTATCAACTACTGATCTTTCATTTTTGAACAGTTCAAATAAATTTAACAAAATATAATTATCTAGAGTAAAAATGAATTAAAAAAAGCAGTTCATTAACATTCTTCCAGACACAGCCAATCATCTTCAAATACAATGGTTATCATAAATTAAGGAAAAATCACATAAAGGATGATTACTCAAAAAGTTACATGTACAATTTAATGAAACTGACTCACAGTATACAACATATAGTAAGGTATAAAATAACATGAAAAGAAATTATCAGAAAATTATGATGTTATATGAATTAGCATATGTATAAAATATGGAGATATAATTTGGTACTGGGAAAATTACCCTCAATATGGAGTATGATCTCTCCTAGAAGCAATATAACACTTACAGCGATGTGCAATGCTAACAATTATGCAGTTTATCAGTTCTGTAGGCACTGACAGCGATTGCTCCTGCAAAGCAGTTGCAAGTGTTGCAAGGGTCTAAAGAGGAGAACTGAGAGCAGCTATATGTCTTCCTAAAGCATCCCAAACTGCTCGATAGGATTCAGATTTGGATTTTTTTAGTTCAGATGCCACTGTAGAGACATTAGGTTATTTTAAAGCAGGATTTGTGAAAAATTAGCACCTCGCTGGTACTCGAGTGTTAAGAAGGCAGGAGAAATACCTTGTAAGTTTGGTAGAGGAAAACAATCTCCAATATGGAGTCTGATCTTCCCTAGAAGCAATACAGAACTTACAGCAATGTGAGATGCGGCCTATCAGTTCAGCAGAAAGTGAGAGCCATTTCTCTTGCAAAGTAGTTGCAAGCGTGGCAGAGGTTTGAAGAGGAGGACTAAGAGCAGCTGTAGGTCTTCCTAAAGCATCCTATGCACTGAATTGTTTGCTGCTGAAGATAATCATACATGATGCAAGCCCTGTGCAGTCTAGCATTGTCGTCCTGTAGCAGGAAATTATCACCTATCACCCTGGTATAAATGCACACATAAGCATCAAGGATGCCATCTATATAGGGCTGAGCTTTCATGGCTCCACGTAGAAAGACATGGAGGTCTGTGCATCCACTCAAAGAGATACCACCCCAAACACAGACACTGCCTTTTCTGTATGCATCTGTTTCATGAATGTTAGATGAATGATAAAGAGTTCCAGGTTTTCTTATTGCTTTGGATGCTAAACTTGGACTCATCTGTAAAACAAACAGCCTTCCATTGACCAGCTGTCCAGTGAACATGTTAACGTGCCCACCTCAAACATTCCCTTCTATGATGTGACGTGAGCAATACACAAGTGGCTGATTACTTCATGTAGAGACCTCTTTCATGAAGCCCTCTATGCACAGTTGATAATGACATCAACTTTCTATGGCTGCAGCAAAGGAATGACCTGAGTTGAGGTTCTATTCCTTCAGTTGCAGAACAACAAATATAGGTCATCAGCACTTGCAATAATTAGCATACCGCAGTTTTACTCAGCATTTCTTATTTGACAACATATTCAAATTTTATATGAAATGGCTTATTTTTGAATAAGTTATTGCTATTTTTGTGATTTTTTATTGAATTTTGGAAACCAGTTTATTTCAGATGTATATGATACAGCACCAACACAGATTAGTTTTATATTTTAGCACATCTTTAAATATCTATCTGATTAGAGCTGAACTTAAATGGTGACTTACACAAATATAGCTTTAAATTTTACACAACTGAAATATACTTAGGAGGTTAAAAGAGAATAAATGTACCATATTCAAAGCAAAATTTTTCACATCCGAATCTGAAGAATATATATAAAAAAAACAGTGGATTATTAAAAAACAGTGGCCATCCTTGGCTGAACCTCCTGGGTGATGAATCTGTGGTTAGAAATTACTGCCAAAGTCTATGAACTACAGAACTCACATTTAGCCATGTGGCCACCTCTGTCTGACTTTGTCCTGCCTCTACTCTCTCAATGGCTCTCTATCACAGTTCTTCGAGCAAATGATGCCTGCAGTTTCAAATTGGCTATCTCTGATTTCTTATCTCAGTATCAGAGCAAAATCTGCAGGCTTGCTCCAAAATCATGCAATTTTATTCCCCTCGCAGATGATGTATTTTGACTGCAGTGCCAATAATTAGCATACTGCAGTTTTACTCAGCAATTCTTATTTGACAACATATTCAAATTTTATATGAAATGGCTTATTTTTGAACAAGTTATTGCTATTTTTATAATTTTTATCCAGCAAAATCTGCAAGCTTGCTCCAAATCATGCAATTTTATTCCCTTGCAGATGATGTATTTTGACTGCAGTGCCAATAATTAGCATACTGCAGCTTTACTCAGCATTTCTTATTTGACAACATATACAAATTTTATATGAAATGGCTTATTTTTGAACAAGTTATTGCTATTTTTGTGATTTTTTATTGAATTTTGGAAACCAGTTTATTTCAAATGTATATGATACAGCACCCAACACAGATTATTAGTTTATATTTTAGCACATTTTTTAAATACCTATCTGATTAGAGCTGAACTTAAATGGTGACTTACACAAATATAGCTTTAAATTTTACACAACTGAAATATACTTAGGAGGTTAAAAGAGAATAAATGTACCATATTCAAAGCAAAAATTTTTCACATCCGAATATGAGAATATATATATATAAAAAAAAAAAAAAACAGTGGATTATTCAAAAAAAAAAAAAAAAAAATATTACTTCGAGTATAAATCCTTCACAGTTGACAAGGATAATGGTAGCTTCAATATTTTTTCCAGTAGATTTACCGCCTTTCTCAAAATCGCCTTTCTCAAGTGTCAGATATAGATCATTTCTGACATCACCTGAAAACATTTGTTTTTAGTTACTAATAAAATACATTACTTAAGAAAATACACTAATAGATCAGAAAATCGACTTAAAGAATAACTGATTTCTTATGACAAATTAACTGTTTACAAATGCACCATCATTAAAAAAATCTGCTTTGCAAAATTAATTTTCCATCTTTCCTTATTTTTGACTGCAGAGACAAAGAAATCTGCTGCATCCACTGAGGACTCAGAATACTTTTGTTCAAATAGAATAGTTCAAAATCTGATGTAAAAAATAACAATGTTATACCTGCCTAACTGTGAAAAAAACTGCCACTGGGTGGCCTAATCTGGTTTCTCATCTGGAATCTGACTAAATGTATTCTCATGATCGACTCTTTTGAGAGTTCAAGCATTTTTGCAGTGTCATGCAGATGCATTCCTTTTTACAGAGAATGTCCAGATCTATGGGAGATGTTACAATAGACAGCTACCCTGCAACATCTCCCAGAGATTTCTCATATATTTGGATTTCTATCTTAAAAAGCATGATAATCTTGCATGAAATTCAAAAACTGTGAATGTAACACCAAACTTTAACCAAGTTTAGCAGGCTCACTTATAATTAACTACAAGAATCACATTTATTCTATGGGTGAGTTCACAGCACAAAAATTTCTAACTGAAAAATCAAACAAATATAGAAATCTAACAATTTATTCTACCAACACCTCGACAGGCTTACATTAAAACATACGACATGAAGTATCAGTCATCTGGACTTACTAAAACACAAACTTCCTTCATATCTTCATCAAAACATAAACTTTCTTCCTGCTATAAATTCAATACTATAATGTTTTGTTCACAACAGCATGACAAAGCAGCATTGGTGGGCAGACAAAAGCTCTCATGTACAGCTATGCACAGTCCTTCGAACTTTATAATGAAATTGCTTGCCACTAAAATCTACATCAATTCAAGAATGATAGAATCTCAAGGTAAAGTAGGAAAGCCTTAAATTAAATACACATGTGTTAGTGAAATTCAAATATAAATAGCACACTCAGCCTTCCTATAAGAAAAGCTTTGAATACAAGTCTTCAAACAGATAAAACTGATAGTATATTTTTGACAACACCTTGGCAAATCTACCCTAATGTCTAAAATTTCACATTTAATTTATGCATATTTGGCCATAGATTTACTTTATTCCCCTCATTACTTACTCAATGTCCTATGTATAAAAGGTCAAAATGAAAATGCCACTTTTATCTTTAAATATACACTACCCTTTCAAAGAATTAACTTTATAAACTTTCCAGACTTAACATATCAACATATATTAAAATTTAGAAACACTTAAATTTGAAATCATAATTTGGAAACAAATTTGAAACTTTTCCAGAATAACAGGTGATCTTTTCATTTAGACTATTAAATTAATTTCAACTAATTGCACTACTTTCTACAATATATTCTTTCTACGATATATGCATTACATCACCTTAATTTTGGAACACATATTTTAAAATATTAAATATTAATGATATTTCAAATATTAAAAAAATGAGTTTTTCCTCTCTCATCCACTAGCCTTTCATGCAGCTCCAATCCATCATTCACTGCTGGTACCAGTCAGGAAATTTATGGCTGTTAGACTTTGGCAAGTCCTTGAAATCTGCCTGCTGATGATTTGTGTCTTTGTTACAGCTGTAGTTCTCCCTCCATAACTCTGTTCCCTTATTGTGGTGGCTACAGGGCATCTCATGTCACCACTAGTTTGACTGTGTTGCCTTGACTACATAAATCTGCCATTGATGCAGTCTAAATAAGTTGTTCCTGTGATAACAGTGCTGGGGATGTTTGTTCTCATCTTCTGCTTTTCTCTTTCTACTTGCTGCTGGGCTGCAGCATTTCTTGATTGTCAGCAGCTGCAATTCTTGTGCTACATGATATCACTGGAACTGGTAATCTTAGAATTTTGCTTTTCTCCTTGTTCTGGCTAGAAAAACTGTTTCGGAAGCTATGGTCTATGAAGCTATGGTCTCGTTTTCTTTTTCGACAGTGCTGCCTGTGTGTGATCTTTTCACGAGACCTCACACTTGGTCCTTGGTTATTACTTTTCCCAAGGCACTGCTCTATTATTCTTAGGCCTCTGAATCTCATATTTATCTTACCCATTATTATCTAGTTCCATTTTCCTTAGCCATTGTTGCTATAGGAACATGTTCATCAACCCAACAGTCACAATTTCATCTTCTTCTTTTTTTTTTTTTTTTTTTTTTACTTTTCACACCATCAACATTTATTATCTAACTATAATAACAATATAAGAATGCATTCTGTGTAATTGATATTAAATGTTTACACAAGATTATGTGGCATAAATAATTAAATATGCATTACAAGATTTAACATCAAAGTTCATTCAAGTTTAATAAAAGTTCTAAAACTATACCAACTTTTATTGCAGTTGACAGTTTTTGATTCTGAAAACAACATACTACATCCTTAAGTTTATAACCCCAGTTTTCAAATGATTTTTTAAACCAAAAGATTATGAAAATGATTTACAGATTATTTTATAAGAATGAAATTATTATAATGAAAAAAGTAGCTTTCTCTTAAACAATTCAACGACTAAGCATAGACTACTGCTTTTAAAAGTTTACAGATACACAATTACTGCTATTCAGGAATTATAAGTGTTTTCAGGCTTTCATAAGAAAGGACTGTCCTGTTAATAATTCCATTTTATTTTAATTCTACTGGTATTGATGTTGACAGTTAATAAATATAATCATATTATGAAATGATTACAAAATTTGGAATTAATTTAAGCATTTGTTGCAACTCAACTCTTGCTGAGATCTGGCTGAGTGACGTCGTCTTGAACTATGAACTCTCGCTGAGAGATCGTACGAGAACTCGGAACGAAGAAGTTGTATGCTGCATCGTGCCAAATTTAAACCCTTTTCATTATGTAAATATTCAATAACCTGTTTGAGTATTTATTAAAATATGTTGTGTAAAGAATGGATTTATCATTTATGGATTTACCATTCAAAGATTTTGCAGATAGAGATGCACAGAGGAGATCAATTTAACCAGTGGCCCTGGCAGAACTCATTGAGACAAGATAAGTAGTTTTGTTTTACCTTGATTAATTAGTTAGAGGTCTAAAATAACACTAACGATAGCGTTAAGAGAAATAGAACTAATAATATTGTGGTGCCCAACATGGGGCAATTGGGTTGAATTTAAATTTAAATTTAATAGATTTTGCTTTAAGCAAAAACATGGATTTAGAAAAATTAAAAAAAGAAACGATCTGTTATAAGAGCAGTAGTTACAAGGCTGATAAATAAGATAGAAACAGAAATTGCTAATGAGGGGGATAAAAATGCAATCGAAGAAACAGTTGTTCAATTAATTAGTAAAGAAGAACTAATCTCAGCAGATAATGGTATTGAAACTTTAATTGATGTAACAAATTTAGAAGATGAAATCATTTCTAGAGAAGAGTATAAAGGTAAAATTATTGTTTGGAAATTACATGCGAAACAATATTTAGATACTAATCCACATAGCGCTAATTCTACTTCATGTTTAACTTTCACTGAATCACAAAACAAAATTAAACTCCCAAAATTGGCCCTGGAAACGTATTTGGGAAAGGATGTGTGCAGTTGGCCCAGGTTTTGGACATGATTTGAGACAGCTGTACACGAAAACGAAAGTCTACATGCTGTAGATAAATTTAACTATTTAAAGTCAAGTTCCAATGCAGAAACTGCAATACAAGGCTTGACGTTAAGAGCGGAGAATTACAAAAAGGCTGTGAAAATACTAAAAGATCGCTTCGGACACAAAGAACTAATAATAGATACCCACATGAACAATTTATTAACTCTGACTTCGGTTAAAAGGTCTTGCGATGACAGCACTTCGAAAATTATATGATCGTTGTGAAGTACAAGTTAGAGAATTAGAATCATGTAATATTTTACCAGATTCATACAGTACCTTATTGTATACGATATTAATAAAGGTAATTCCGAATGATTTATCACTAGAATTTAATAGGAAATATGAAGATGATAACTAGACAAAAATTACAAATTTGCTAAATTTTCTAAGAAAAGAAACTGAAAGTCGAGAACATACAGGATTTTTAATTAAGCCAACAGATTCTGAAATCACTGAAAAGAAATCCCATTTTGAAAACAAGTGGCAGTTTCGAAAATGTTTTCGAGACAACAAAAGAAATCAGGATTATAATAAGTGTAGAATTCCTTCAGCTACACATCACTTTCTAATAGCTGTTTATTCTGTTCTGAAAATCCTACATCAGAATCATGTCAAAAGACTCTTCCAGAAGAAAAGGAAGCATTAAAGCGAAGTGGAAATTGTTTTGTGTGTATTAAAAAGTATAATTTAGCGAGGAACTGCAAATCGAAACTAACTAGTGGTATTGTGATCAACAACATCATACATTGATACACTCTGACGAAACAAACGCATCAGACAAGAGGCCCATCAAAGGGGCAGTAGTCTCTTCTGTTTCAGATTGCGCAACAGTAAATAGCTCATTTCTTCTGACAGTACAAGCTGAAATCATAAACACAGGCAATTGGCGCCAGCAAAGCGCTCACACGTTGTTGGATTTAGGATCGCAGCAAACATTTATTACGGAGGACATCTATAAGAAATTAAAACTTCCAGTTATTTTTTTTCCAATGGTAGATTGTGAACAATTACAAATGTAACCCAGTCCATTAATCTATGCAAGGCCGGATGTGGTGGTCTCTTTATTATGGAGGCACCTAATAGATGGGCTACCATTGCCTTTCCTATGAATGGATGGACAGTTACAACCATGCCTTCTCCGGGATTCGAACCCAGGCCCTTCAGCATCGCAGTCAGCTTCCAAGACCACTATATCGACTGGGTGGCAACTTCCGGTTATTGGAGAAGAAAAAAAAAATATATTCTCTTTCAGTTGCACAATGAAGCACAGAATGTTA